TTTGACTTTCTTACACCTAAAAACTCGCTAGCTCTCTTAGATTATTATCTTTATAATAAAGGGAAATTATGGCTCATGGCTAGTTATTTGTTGCATCCATCTTATGCACTTTACACGTATTAGCTTTCATCACATATGATGATGCCGTTGGATATAACTAAAGAAACTAAAAGTTGTAGAAAATATTAGATAAGCGTTTTTTATTAGAGAAATGCAAGTGCTACATTTTAAATATGTTTTTTTTATTATTATTGGAACTTGATGTAGGTCTCACTAAAAAAATATATATATATTTCTCTTGTGATTATAAATACTGAAATGAATAGTTAACATTTATAAAGTTATCTTAGTCCTAAATGAATTTCTCTAAAAAAGTATCATATATGTTAACTACCGATTTTACTACACTACTTATCTAATTTTCCCCCCCGTAAAACATGGGCGGAACATAAAAAAAAAAAAGCCAAAGGGAAAGCGCTTTTTTTTTTTTTTTAATTTCCATTATTGTAATCCGTATTATACAACTCCACTCCACTTATATTAGTCACATCTCACATGCATTGGTAAAAAAATTAAAATAATGCATTTAAATTAAATAATTACGCATTTAATGATGTTTTGTAAAAAATTACACATCTACTGCACAATGTGACGCCACTTTTGGGCGTCACATGTGACGCCCCAATGAGGCGTCTTCTCCAGGGTGCGGCTGATGGTTCTGTCTTTGGATCGGCTTCAATACAAGGTCCGTGGCAACTGGGTGACATGTTATTTGTCAATCAAGAATTTGCAACAAAAAAAGATGTCCAAATGGCACTTAAGCACAACCTCATTAGGGAGCATCAAGAAGCCATTGTAATTGAGAGCACGCCTGCAAAGTTGTCTATGAAATGTTGTGCGTATGATCAAGGTTGTCCGTGGCGCGTAAGGGCGATCAAACCGATGTTTCGTGAAAATTGGAAGATTACGAGATGGGGTGGAAAACACGAATGTGTGAATGAGCACATTTCCCAGGGTCATAGACAGCTCGATGCGGACGTTATTGCAGATCTCGTCATAGGTACGTATTTATTTACCGTATTGGCATGCCAGTGTGTAAATTCGTTCGATGTTATCGAGGCTCTAGTATCCTCTTTAATGTAGAGATGATAAAGTCAGAACCATCTGTGTCAATCTCTTTGGTGCAAGAAAGGATAACTGCTAAATATGGCTTTCAAGTTTCCTACAGAAAGGCGTGGTATGCGAAGCAAAAAGCGATGGCAATTATGTATGGTGATTGGGAGGAATCGTATGCTTTTTTGCCAAGGTGGTGCGAATACATGCTTCGTTTTTCTCTAGGTTCATTTTATCATATACAAACAAATGATCTTTATGCGGAGCAGAGCTTAGTTTCTGGAAAAAAGGTTTTTCATCGCTTTTTTTGGACGTTTAGACAATGTTGTGAGGCGTTCAAATTTGCCAAACCCGTCATACAAATTGATGGAACACATTTATATGGGAAGTACAAAGGGAAATTGTTGGTGGCCACAACCCAAGATGGTAATAATGAATGTTTACCGATCGCTTTTGCCATCGTAGAAGGTGAAACTTTGGAAGCATGGGATTATTTTCTCGTTAATATTCGTGCTCATGTTACTACCATGTCAAACATATGTTTGATATCTGATCGGCATCGAAGCATGGGATTACTCCCAGTTATCACGTGTTAACGAATTTTATTGAATAATTACATAAATACAAAACGACGTAAATAACATACCTGAATATGTTGCATCCTGACACCATGTATGAATCCCGCCTGTCTTAGGTACTCTTCGACAACCGGTGGAATAGCACCGGTAGGTGGCCCCCCTTGTGGCTTCCCACGTTTGGTCTTAATTTTTCGTACATGCTCTGTATTCCACACTCGCTGTGAAATATGCGCTTTTTGCGTCCTCTTTCGAAGGACCTCCCACCTGTACGGCCCAGGGATGATCCATATGCTGGGATCGGTGGGCTCTACATCCGACTCAGATGATGACTCAGCCATTATCCTCAACTATATAATATAAAACAACATTTAAATTAATCACATGTAACAACCCATTTTATTTACAATTTAGTTAAGCAGTGAAATAATTGATTATCACAAAAATTAAGCATATGCGTCATTTATTTAACTAGAATCGAAATTTATGAAGTCCCGCCAAAACGTAGAACAGTTATTTATTTGCAATTAAATAATAATAATACATCAAACAAAAATAATATAATACTAACTGAATACTTAACCCTAGGTCACTACCAACTTGTCCAATATGTACTAATCATCACACCTAACTAACTACAAAGTTATGCACTCCCGCATTAATAACATCATACATACGAAATTTACGAAGTCCCTAACACTATTTATAAATCACTAATTAATATGCTAACCCTAATGCATAATTAAAATTTAATAATAATAACTATGTAATAATAAAATTACTATATCATACAACATTTATAGCATGCCACAAAATTTCTAAGTGACTATCCTAATGTTCCAAGTCTCTAATATACAGTCAATCCTAACATGTATTACTAACTAGCACTGTTATTTAAATGTATACATATGAGGTATTATGACCTTACCTACGTTGGCAAAGCTTCACTACGAACCGCGGTTAGAGAGAGGTTAGAGAGATAAATGAGTAAGGAGTGAAAAAAAGAAAGTGGGGTATATATAGGTTGCACATGAGACGCCCCCTTTGGGCGTCACATGTGACGCCCCAGTGGGGCGTCTTCTCTAGGGGAGAGACGCCTCACTGGGGCGTCACACGTGACGCCCAAAGGGGGCGTCTCATTGTACAACAGATGTGTAATGTTTACAAAACAGCATTAAATGCGTAATTATTTAATTTAAATGCATTACTTTAATTTTTTTGCCCACATGCATTACATTTGTTCGAATTATACCTAATAATAACTAATTATTTTATCTGTGCGCGCGTTAGGTTATTTTGTATTTATACTTTTTATTGAAAATAATTGTTTTTGTTTAATTGTTTATTGGGAAATAATACTCTCAGCCACATGAGAGTACATCATTTTCCTACACAAATTCGTTTTCCGTGCCAATTAATTTTTCTTTTCTTTTTTAATATAAAATATGGGACCCACATTTAACTTCTCTCTATTTTTTTCTCTCCTACAATCCTACAACATAAGAAAACTTAAACCCTTCTTTATTACGCATTATCATTCTTTTAACGACATATTCATTGAAAAGTATTAGAATTATAGTATGAAATTTTAGTTTAAATATAATATCATCATTTATTTTCATGCCTTAAATCTTCAATTGAGTATAGCCTTATAATTTTAAGTTTGTAAAGCAGTATACCCACTATCGTCGCTTCTCAATAATTTGTCACGGCTCAAGACAATTTCGTTCGTGAAATAATATTAAAATACTATCACTTCTTCCCCATTAATTACTTGCAATGGCTAAGGTAATTTTACATATAAAAAACATAGATAAATAAGTGAGCTTGAACTTTTATTTAAGAGTTAATTTAATCCATTTAATTAATTTGGACATTGACCTATCAAAGTTTCTTAAATGTTAATTTTTTGTCCGATATATGCAATATTTATAGAATATTTAATAAAGATCAATTGCTTTAGATAGCAGCTTTTACATACATTAATTTATTTTGGCTTAAACTTAACATGATTGAATTGTTAGGTAAAAAATTATTGTAATTGTAATTGTAATAATTTACAAAAAAAATTATTGTAATTGTGAAAAGTATTGAAAATTATAAAGAAATTAATACAATCGAAAATTGGTGAATGCTGATATGGAAAATTGTATTTAAAAAAAAATAAAAATAAAGGCAGGCTGTAAGCTTTATTCTTTACCCGCATAATTAATTTTGACTTTTTACTTTTTTATTAAGATAAAAAATATATAATAATAGAAAATATTGAAAATTAATTGTATATATCTATAACATATAGAATAGATTAGAAAAGAAAAAAAGAAAGAAAGAACATATATATGACGTACAAATTAGAAGATGGGTCGTTTATTAGTTTTCAAGTTTTACAAGGCTTTGATTGTATCGGACATGTAAGAGAGCCCATTTTAATCGTCTTACTGGGCTTTGATTACATTGAACTTTGTGACATAAGCCATTATCATGCGGAAATGGATTGGGTTGAGGATTAGCAGAACTTTGGACTCGAAAGAAGAAAAAGGCCTTAAAAAATAAAATAAATGTGCATTTAATTTCTTATTAGAAAATTTTGCTTTTATTACAGAAAAAATTTCAGACATACTTATATAAAAGTGAATAATGAGTTCTATTATAAAGAAAAGAGAAATAAACTTTTACGTGACAGAGAAATTTCAGTAAAAGCATATATATTGAATCCTTTTTATAATTAAATTCTAAACGAAGTACTTATACAAAACTTGAAAGTGTGTACAAGAAAAAAATATATTTTATCTTATTTTTTTTTTTATATTTGTTTAAAAAATAACGTTTATATTTTATTTACAAAAGTATTAACAAAAGTAATTTTGTATTAAAATTTTATAAAAATAAAGATGAACTTACTTACAGGAATTGGATTTGGTAGTTATTTTAAAATACCAATTTATAATTCTGTTCACAATAATAATAAAATAAACTGATTTTTGAGTTTTTTTTTTAAATGAAATAAATTCTTTCGTATAATAGTATAGATTATAATCACAAATATATATCGTTAAAATAAAAATGAATGAATACTTTCAAAATAATCATTATTTAAAGTTTTGTATAATACTTTATAATTTTATTTATAATATTTCCTCATTTTATTGATATCTCTTTATTTCATCTAAAGAAAGTATTAAAAAAAAAAAATGAATATTTTTTATTTTGTTAAAATGAAAAAAATTAAAATAATCTGATATTTTGGCGCCCTTTATTTTGATCTCAGGTACACGTCATCCATTTTTTTGAAGCTTCTCCCGAAAGCTTTGCCACTATTACCAGTAGACATTTGTGTCCTCTGTTTATGCCGTTTGCATTTCTTCACGTTCATTCACTTCCATTCAACACTTCCGTCACCGTCACCGTCACCGGAAAACCCAATTCCCGATGAGGAAATCAACCAGACTATCTTCCGCCGGCCTCGCCCAAGTCCGAGAACCGGTACACCTCAATTTCATGTTTGTTTCCCGAGAAAATCTAAGAAAAACAGGAATTCCAGTTTCAACTTCGATTTCTTCGTTTTTCTTTTTTTTTACCGTTTCAGGTTAGGAATTTCAGGACAAGATTTTCTCTCACGTCGTACGCGAAGCGTGTTCAGCAGCTGACGGCGGAGCAACGATCCGCGATAACGAAAACGGGTTTCGGGAACCTGTTACGTGTTCCGAATCACTCGCTGAACAAGGTTTTCTTAACGGAGGTGATGGAAGCTTGGAGCTGCGAGAAGCGGGCTTTCGTTATCGGGTCGGGCGAGATCCGAATGAGCTTGTTAGACGCTGCTTTGATTATGGGCCTTCGGGTCGTGGGTGACCCGGTTGTGTTGAAGGAGGATGAACCTTTCTCGGATTTCGAAGGCTCGTATGAAGCAAAGGAAGGGAAGAGGAAGGTGTTGATGAGTTTTCTTGAAGAGAGGCTCGATTCAATTGGGGAAGTTTCGAGCGATTATTTTGTGAGGACGTTCTTACTTTACACGATTGGAACCTTTTTATCTTCCAATGATGGTAAAGTTGATTCACGCTACTTGCACTTTCTAATGAATTTGGATGAGGTTTCTCGATTTGCGTGGGGTGTTGCTATTGTTGAAGATTTGGCTCAGTGGCTAGATAAGAGGAAAGAAAATAATGTGCAATATGTTGGTGGTTGTCTTATATTTCTCCAAGTAAGTTTCACCATGTCATAATTTTATTTATTTATTAATTTGAATTTTTTAATTTATTGAGTCAATTCTCGAATCATGTATGCTAATGTAGGGTAAGAGAACCTATTATAGATTCATAGAATTGATCTGATCCTTTCACTAGACCTTGTACAAAAGGGGAGCTTTATATCATCATGTTACCCTTTTTTTATTGAGTCAATGGATATTTTGGTCTAAAAAAAGACTAAAAGAGTGTGCGTATATTTTGATTCATTAGTCCTACAAAGATTATTTACATTACGTCAATTGATTGCATAGTTTCTCAAATTTAACTCATTTAAGAAGGAAATATAGTCCTCCAAATATTGAGTGCATAAAATGTCTTAACTGAATTGAAGTTGAAGATTGATGTGATCATTTATTGTAAATGAATTCTCAAAAAAAAAAAAAACTAACTTGATGTCAATTCAAGTTTCCTTTTTTTCTTTTTCATGTTTATATTGATTACAATTTACAAAAGGGTATATGCGTTGTCTTGGAAGTAAAATGTATGTATACAAGCAATTTATATGTTGCTTTTAAGACTAGATGGGAAAATTCCAGTGTACAAGTCTCCCTGCTTTGCCAGGATAAAGATAAAGGGAGATTATACACAGCTTTATTCTTGCATTTTTGCAAAGAGGTTGTTCTCTGTACTAGAATAAGTGACCTTCTGTCACAAGAAGCTACCTTACATTTGCTTAGAAGAGTATGTGTAAGAGTTAGTTTTCCGAGGGATAAGAAGTTTTGGAGCAATACTTGTAAAGTTGTGATTTATAAATGCTTATGTTGATTAAATGTTCTTGTTTTTAAGTTTTATTTTCCCCTTTGTCTATGGCGGACAGACATGGTGTTATGAGCATTTTGATATAGCACGACCACAGTTGCAATGTCATGATTTGACCTTTCCTCGTGTGTGTCGATGGGATAATAGTAAATCTCTCCAAAGGCAACGAGGTACTTCAAGGTTAAAGGACCTGCATGATGACCAGGTAACTTGAAACTTGCTTACGTATCTGTTGAATATTGAGTTTATTCTTTATAGTCACTGGCTCCCCGCATAATATGGCAGGTGGAGAAAACATGTGTCTGTTTTGACCTGGTGCCATTTTTATGTTATATTTAGTCATTTTTTGATGATTTAATGATTGAAGTAGCAAAGCCGTTCTCTTCTCGAGAGCTTTAGGCTTTAGTCTGAATCTGCAGATAGCATATTTGGTGTTTGAATTAATGATGGCTGCCTTGGTATTAGTTGTCACACTGAAGTCCTTATCAAAAAAAGGACGAAGGAAAAGTGGGTTATAATTCCTTTGTAGTTTATTATCTGTTTATGTGCAGATAATTTGGAAACTCCAACCTACCTCTGAAGAGTTACAACTAGAGATAATCAAAGAAGCACTGGAGTTGGTGGGTGACAACGAAGAGCTTCAAAGTGAAGAAAATTGTTCGATTAACACATTAAATAAAGTGAGTTATAATTTTTTGGTTTATGAACTTTTTAAATTTCTGGTAAATAAAAGTTTAGGGAGAGGGGAAGTTGCTCCATTCTAAGGTCAGTGCATATCACCAGCCATAGCAGACTCCAAGTCAAGACGTTTGAGTTGATGTGGTACGATCTTATCTTTTGAGCCAAACCTCATTGGAATAATCTTAATGTTGGTAATCAATTCAAATTTTTGATTCGAATGTATGAATTACTAACATGGGTGTCTTTTGAGTTATACTCCTTCTATTTAATCGCTTATGTTGTAATGTGGTTTGCTTTCTCTATTGATTGACAATTGGACGTCGGCAGGTTCCTGGTGTAGGTTCAGAGTTACAAGTTAGTGTCTCTAGTAAAGTACTTAGAGAGGATGGGGATAATTTTGAGAATCAGGTAGTGGACGACACTCCCACAAGGTTGAGCAGTTGTGATGAAGAATATAGAGAGCAGGAGACCAATCTTGAAAACCTTATAGTGTTGGACACCCCCCCAAATCTGAGCATTTGTGACGAAGTAAATAGAGAGAAGGAGATGAATCTTGTAAACCTGATAGTGTTGGACAGCCCCCCAAATTTGAGCATTTGTGATGAAGTAAATAGAGAGCATGAGATGAATCTTGGAAACCGGATAGTGGAGGACACCCCCACAAATTTGAGCATTGCTGACGAAGTAGGCAGAGAGCAAGAGTTCAGTGCTGAAAAATTCAAAATGAACGACACTCCCCCAAAGTCGAGCTTTTATGATGTGAGATCTGGTTCTGCTTTATTCTTTTGGGTCTTGTCATAGATTATATTTCTTTATTTTTTTTCTTTATATTGTATATATATATCCACAATGAACATCACAATAAAATGAACTCTTTTGATTAACAGGATGATTTAAGAAAGAAAAGTGTCATGTTAGAAGAGGAAAATGCCCAATTAAAGATGAAAATAGGCCAAGTAATGGAGGAAAATGAACTTCTCCGTAGGCAGATTTTATCAAATACCCAATTTGAAGAGCAGAACGCTGAGTTAAAGAAAGAGCTGGATTTCTTGAGAGAAGAACTCAGAATTTTAAGATTGTCAGAAAGTAGCTTTTTGGACCGAATGGATAGACATATTTTGGATTACGAAACTGATGCAACTGCAAAAACATGCTATTCTTGAACTTCACCCTTAAACATACCTAGCTGCTTGCAGATAGAGCTGTGGCACTCAAACCACCCGTTACATGCTAACTTTAGACCTTGCTGCAGCCGCTACATCGATCGATCTCAGTTCTTTCGCAACAGCCAAGTGTATATATTTGTTGTTAAGGTAAACATACATTATTCTATCTAATTTACGTGTGGAGGTTTCTATTAAGTGAAACTATGAAATTCATGGCAGGTAAACAGAACTATTTATTTTTATCTTTGTTGTATATTAGTATAGTAGATTGTTCAAGTACTTCTCCAAAAACGAGGCATCCTCCATCCCCTAGATTTTTGGGTGCCTGGATGTACTAGATGTAAAATATTTTTTTTTATTTAAGAATAAATTACATTCACTTCTTGAGGATAGCAGTAATTACAAGTAATAGTCTTTTTTATTTAAGCATGATACCAGTCTCCTTTCTAATTCTGACAACCACATTAACTGCTGTTTAATTAATGGATAAAACTTTGTATATATCTTCGCAATTTATAAACAACCCAGCAGAGAAAAAGGTAAAAGAAAAAAAAGGGACAAGAAAAAGGAAAAAAGAAAAAAGGAATTGTTCTCCATCTTTTCCTTCTACTTTGCACAATGTTTGCGGGGGCCCTGGATTGATGCTCTGTAATTCAATGGCTGTTGGTGTCTTTGTTGGCTGGAGCTCGCTGGTTCTTATTGGGTTGTTTTGGAGTGGCATGTGTGGTTGGTGCGGCGGGGATGCGGCGTTTCCCATGGCTGGGCATAGGATATGGTTTTGCTTGGTGATTCGATTTCTGCGTTCTTGGACTTTGTGGTGGCAGTGGTGGTGAGCTGGCCTTGGTTGGAATTTGGGTTTTTTGAATTGATGAGGGTTTGTGTTTAGTTCTTCCATTTTTAGGAATGGTTGTGCTTTTTGTAAATCTGAAAAATTATTTTCTTTCTCTCCTCAGTCACATAGCTAACGTGTAAAATAATTTTTTTTTTCAGAATTACACATTCATACTCTGTGTTAGTCACTAAATTGATACAACTTGTGTCCTTTTAAATGACACGCACTAAACCTTTAATTTAATTATCGTTGATTTTCATCAATCTAATGGTTATAATTTATTGAAAATTAATAACATTTATTGGGTCACATTTATTAATTAATTTTTAATTCTGAATAAATTATAATCGTTGGATTATCGAAAATCAAGGTATAACGGTTAGATTGTTAGAAATCAACAATGATTAAATTGATTGTAAGAGTAATAAACTTTTTTGGTGATAAGTATGTCACTTTAAACTTTTGCAGCTAACCCAAAGAATCGTGGGGCCCACCATCATTCTTTTTAAAAAAATAAAAATAAAATATTGCCACTGATTAATACCTCGGTAACAGAAGGATACACCCTTGCAGATGAGAAGTGTATTCCCCATGGTTAATTCCTTAGGGCTATAATAAGCAAGACTTTTTAAACCAAATCAGTAAAGGGATTGATTCATTAACTTAGTTAGAAGTTGGTTTTCCAAGTTGCTTGTTGGGTTGGAGTTTATCTTCAATCCTCAAGTGATCGGTTCGAACTTTAGAACTTTATATTTCTAATATGAATAATGTAGATAAGCAATATTATAATAATAGTGTTAAGTTAATAAATAAATAAATAAATTTAAAATTTAAATAGAATTCTTTATATTGTTATTAAATGATAATTATCATAGTAACTGACATACAAGTTCACATTATACATGGATCAAATATGCTTTATAGTTTATACTATGTAACCAAAAAAAAGTAATGCATGCTTCGTATTAGGGAGAATGTTATATTTACAAATTTTTTGTTTATAAACTCTTACAAACTACACTATGACCAGTCATACTTCAATCAAGAGTGTATGACCGGTCATACTTAATGTAATTTGTAAAATTTTTTGTAAATGGATCCATCCCTTTATATTATATATTTGAAAACAAATAGTAAAATAAGTGAGCTCATTATGATTTAAATATTTAATTGCCTCAGCAAACATTTGATGATGAGTCATCCTTAAATCTTGATCCAAAGTTCCTTCCTTTTAATATTACGTTGATAGTTTTGAAACCTCTTTCCCCAATGGCACTTTTGGTCAAGGAACAAAGAAATAGACAAAGTCACTTGTGAGGCACAAGCATCATTAATCAAGTTCTCCAAATCCATTCACAAAATAGACTGCGCATATCATTAACAAAGAGACAACCACTGCTTACATACCCATTTCTTCTAGTACTCCACTCCTTATCTTCTGCTAATGCCTACAATAACCATGAAAGAAAAGGCTACCCACTATCAAACACAGACACACAAGAACACTAGTACAAGCTTGCAAGAAGCAATTTCTAGTCATTCCCATGTCACTCATGTAGCCTCTTATTCACACACTATATATACTACTGCCATAACACCACTCTTGAGCTACTGCTCCAAGATCATCATGCATCAACCTCACTGAACTCTGCATCAAAACAAAAAAAAGAAGACTCGTTAGACATATTGGAAAGATGAATAAAGGGCATGCATGGGGCAAATCTTGGTACAAAAGATATCCCAATTTTGGGAGGAGAGGGTTGATGGTCCATTGTACACGTCCTAACCATTGCATATTTGCAAAGAGGTTGTTTACAACACTGAGAACCCATGACCTTTTGGTCACTAAATAACAACCTTACTGCTGCTCAAGATTCACCCTATGAAAGATGCATGATAAAAAAATAAAATAAAATAAAAATGCATGTAAGATATGTATATATTATAAGTACTTGCTACAGTCTGTGTTGGGGCTGATCTGGTAGGGAATGTTAACACCACATTTCTTTGGAAGGCCAGCAGCATTGTTTAGATTAAAGTTAGAGTAAGTGAATCCACTGGAACTAACAGCATTCTTTATGCAATTGCAAACTGTTTTGCGATCTGGTGTGGTCTGAGCCATGCCATAGAGGGACTTAACCCCGTTGCAACACTGTGCTGGCACAGTACTCCCACCATAGAGTACATATGTAATGCATGGGGTCAAATTGTTTTGAACTTGATCACATGTCACTGCAGCTTGAACCTTAGGACTAGTTGGACCAAGTGCTAGAAACACAATTGCCAAACAAACAACCTTAACCATGATTGAACTAGCCATGACTCAAATCTTGCACTTTGTATAGCTTTACCCTTATACTAGATTTCAACTTATATATATGGCCTTTTTAGAGACTCTTTGTGTTGAGCTTTTCTTTCTGTTGCTGCATGTATATATAACAAGAGAAGGGTAGGAGGGTATGTGGGGTGCAAGCACAGTCATGTGACTAGCCACGTGCTTGAAGTTATTTGGTAGTTGAGCTGAATTCAGTGCCATAATGGATTGTGGTTGGGCATGTTAAATGCCGCTATTACTGTTTTAGTCAAAAGATCCAGGACCAACCATTTCCCTGCCTAGATTTTAAAGAAAGATGGCAAACTCATTGAAGTAACATTTATATGTGATGAACTGAAGTCACTGCTATTTATCAGTGAGTGAGTTACTGTAACCACGTTTACAAACAGTCCCATGTCTTTTTTTTTTTTTTTTTCATCTAGATTTTCAAAATCAAATTAAGATTCTTTCTCTTAATTTTGGCAAACAACGCTTGAATATTGTTGAGATATATAGTCCCACATTGGTTGTATGTGCAATTAATTAATGTGAAGTTTATAAGGCCTTGCGCACTCCCACCCATTGAGCTAGTGTTGCTACTCACGGCAACTGCACCGATCGTACAAGTAATATATGATTAAGTAAGAGATCGTTCCCACGAGGATTACGGTTCAAGCACTAATTCACTATCGCAAACTTAGTTGGACAATCGAAAGTGTATTTGGAAACAGGATTTGAATTGCAAAATTAAAATATTAAATATTAAGCTAATTACTTGCAAGAATTAAAAACAAGAAATTAAAGATGTGATTTAACTAATAAAATAAAAACGTAGCTAGGGGTTCGATTTCCTTTAATCTCCTTATTATGATTCGAAGTCCTTCTTTACGTTAACCGTCCTTAATATCAATCTAACCAATTCTTTCGCGTGTTATTAGAGCTCAATTCCTTGTTACCCTAAAATCTTTACAAACTTGAAAGAACCCTAGTTCCCCGGTTATTCCCCAAGAATGCAAGCATTAAGTTCAAGAATCTTAAGGTTACACAAATTCTATGTCTATCCCTAGAATCATAGCGTTTACGATGAAGTTATCAGATATGGATCACACACCAACATCCCTATTGTCATGCATTTACCGATGATCATTATATAAGATTCAAGCCTATATAAAGCATTAAAAACAGATAACTTCATTCATGATAAAAAGGAAAATTAACGTACGAATTATTCAAAGCATAATAAATCGACTAAAATCCATCTAACCCTAACTACTTAAAGAACTAGCCGGACATGGCAAAATCAAGAACAAAAGAAAATAGAAAAGCTCCCCCAAACACCATAAGTGATTGGTGGATCTTCAATATCTCCAGTGAACACTTGACGTTGATCCGTCTCCGCCGCTCACGAACATGAATATGATGTTCCTCTGCGTTCCTTCAGCCTCCAAGCACCCAAGAGTTGTTTTGCAATGTAAAAGTTATTTATTTCTGGTCTCCAATGGCCCTTTTATTGGCCAAGAGTTTGTATCCTAGTAGAAAACTCGAATGGGCCTAAGTTGGATCTGTCTGGGCGCTTAAGCCTGTTGTAGCGCGCTTAAGCGCCCTAGGACAGTGAATTCTGATTCGCGTTGCGCGCTGAAGCGCTCTGAAGGGCGCTTAAGCGCGCTCCTCGCGACAACCTTTTCTTCTTGTGGCGCGCTTAAGCCCTGAGTTGGGGGCTTAAGCGCCCAGAGGCAGTAGCTATTTGCGTTTTTAGGGAGCTTAAGCTTCTGAATGGGGGCTTAAGCTCCCACTTCTAACAACTTGATAAGATCTTCAATCTTATTGTTTTTGATCTTCTTCTATCATCTCTTGATCTCATCTTTTCTAGTTGTGATCTCTATTTATCCAATCTTCATCTTTGACTCCTTTTGTCAACAAATCCCTAAAAAATAGCAAAGATGATTCCATTAAACAAAAATTCAGATAATGTTCATGATTATTATATTAAACCCTAGTTTTTGACTTATTTAACTTGATATTTTATATTAATTTAGTCTATAAAATAAGATAAACTAAAGGTTTATCAGCTAGTTTTTGGGGTGGTGTATCCCAAGGTTCTTTACATGGTATGAGAGCTTCGCCGCCCCCCACTTTCTCTTGTGGCATTTCTTAGCACAGGTAGGCTGGGCATGTTGTATTGTCCACTCTTCAAGCCCAACGGGCTCTCGTGTGAGGGGGCGTGTTGAGATATATAGTCCCACATTGGTTGCATGTGCAACTAATTAATGTGGAGTTTACAAGGCCTTGCGCACTCCCACACTTTGAGCTAACTTTTGAGGTGGTGTATCCCAAAATACTTTACAAATATGATATTTTTTTTTTTTGGCAACAAATGTTGATAGAGGCAAATTTTGGAGTAGTAGTAAGATTGTTCTTTGTGATCACAGAAAAAGTCACCGGTTTAATCTGTGTATAATCCAGTTTCATCTCTAACCCGGCAAGTCGAGAAGTTTCATGCATTGATATGTTGTTTTTAACATATGGTGATCACTTTATTAGTATACTGTTCTTGATTATTCAGGAGTACTGCAATTTAAAAATTACCAATCAAATTTAGCTTGAAGAAAGTCCTGTAAAAGCCATATAGGAGGTTGCATATGTGGACCGGCAGAGATTTGAGTCATAAATATCGGACTTAAGTAGTTCTCACTTGTCCAATTGAAATCTGTCCTTTCCATGTTTCTACCTCTTGATGTATACAATAATTTCTTGTTTGCTTGATAAAATGATATCATTATTGTGGTTACATACGACTTTAATTTTGATATAATATTAATATAATTTTTTTTTACACATTCGTTCTATAATATATTATTTAATGTGTTTAATAAGATGTCAAATTTATCATGTAATATGAAAATATATTGAGTAACAATATAATTTTTTTTAATCATCTTTTCATATGACTTGCGGTTATTTGAGATCATCTTAATCGTTGTTAAACAAATCATTAGTTACTCTTTTTCATTATCTATCCTAATATTTTAAAAGGTTTTAATGTTTTTTATGTTGTAGGAAATTAAACTATTTTTTATACACATACAAAAGTGTGTGAGACTCATGTAGAGTCATGTAAAGAGAAAAAAGAGAAAACATAAACTTCACACACTTCTATGTGTATATAAATCTATAAGAGATAATTTTATGGCTTACAATACAATAGACATTAAACCTATTTTAAAATTCGGAATTGGAGTGGAAAGTGCTAGACTTTCGATGCAATGATATCATTGGTTTAATTGGTTGTTGAATTTATAATCAATGAGTTAGTTGATGTAGTTTTAAAACCATTTCTATAAAGGACTAAAAATAGCTTTATATTGATAAAAGAGGGAGACAGAGGGTGACTCTTAAAAAGCACCAGGAGCTAGTCCCTTTTATAGGATTCGAGGGATCTAAGTTAAGTTACAATCGTATTCTACGTGGAAAATGAGTATCTCTTATTTCAACATGAATTTATATTATTTGAAAAATATCAATTATTCATTAATAGATTAAATAATTTTAAAACAAAAACTTGTAAAACAGAAAATAAAAATGGTCATTTTAATTGCTCTGATAATTGATCTATTAAAGAATTAATGACTAATTTTTTTGAGATAACATGACTATATTAAAACAAAACATAGGGATTCATTCCCCTCTAAGTGATTCCTGAAATTATTAAAATTAAGAATGAGTTTCTCAAGTGTCAATAAATTAAAAGTTCATAAACCTCAGTTTAATCTAAAATTACTTACCTTCTTATGGTTTAATTTTTTATCATTTATATCTTTATGATTTTTTCTATCCAAGTCCATTTTTTTAATTTATTGTTAAAAATGTCATTAATATCTTCAATTTGCCCTTGTTAAAAGCATCTCCTATTCCAGTTAAACATCCCATCAGAAATTCTAAGGACACAAAATGTATACCATCTCAGTATTTAAAATTGAGTTCACCATCTAATTCTGTTCCTGGTTCATGGGCTTGTATGGAGCACAACACTTCAAATGACTTTATTGAATTTTGCATAAACTCATATACTTGGGATAAAAAATCTAGTGCAACTCGAGGTTTAGTGTTGCTTTACGAATGCAGTGTTGGGCCAACAGAGGGAAGAGATCACCATCCATGGGTTGGTTAAGTGACGGGAATCCAAAGTCTTGACTAGTGTAGCCAAGCCTTGATGGCAGTTCAATGCCTTAAGGGACACTAGTGTCTATTATAATTATGAGAAAAATGCTTATCCTTTTAAATGACACAACTTATATCTTTTCACTCTCACAAAGAGGTGGGACTCACATCTTTATTTTTTTTTTGTCAACTCTCTCTCCTCCTTTATCTATCTCTTTCTCTCTCTTAAAATGAAACAACTTTACATCCTTTAAAATGACACACACTTTACCTTATAAGTGTAATGGTTAATTAAGAACTTTCCTCACAAGAGCGAGCCCCATTGGCAAATGTAAATTGTAAAGAACCAATTCAACCTAAAAGGTTAAGCTGTTGGGTGAGGCTACATTAATGGTTTTATATATCTCAACACGTCCCCTCACAAAAGAGCCCATTGAGCTTTAAAGGTGGATGATGCAAGCCCAGCCTACCTATGCTAAGAAATTCCACAAGAGAAAGTGGAGGGTAGCGAGGATCGAACCCGAGACACGAGGCTCTGATACCATGTAAAGAACCAATTCAACCTAAAAGCTTAAGCTGTTGGGTGAGGCTAGATTAATAATTTTATATATCTCAACATAAATCATTGATTGAAACATTTGAAGTTACTGCAGTTAAGTATATCATTATCTCATGAGAGATTGATAAAAGAGATGATGTGAAAATGGATAGAAATGCAACAAGTAGCAAATATATAACATTTGCTGTAATAATTAAATGGAAATCTGAAACCACATCTTAGACATGTAATCTATAACTGAGGATCGATCCACACATCTAGGAGTAGCCCACTTCCTTATTTTCTCTTGCCACTTAATAAGTACTTATTGTAAACAAGCACAATAACCTTTCACGCGAGTTGCTCACTGAACCCTGCAATTGGCAATCAAATTAAAATAAAGGTTAATAAGTTTGTTGACTAATTAATACATCATAATGAAAAGTTCATATGTTGAACATAAAGGAAGAACATTATACAATGTATAGATAAGTATCTCTATATATGTATATATACATACTTGTTGCAATCAATGGAGGGAGTGACCTTGTAGGGCAAGTTAACACCACATTTGCCAGGGAGGCCAGCAAGGTTGTTAGGATTGAGGCCAGGAAGGTTCAGAACAGTGGGTTTGAGGCACCTACAAACAGCTTGACGATCAGGTGTGGTCTTAGCGCTGTTTAAGGTCCTAATCGCATTGCAGCATGGTCCAGGGACTGCACCACCACTACTTCCCTTTAGGTATGCAACGCATGGTGCTGCTGTGGTGACCACCTGGCCACAACTGAGAGCTGCTTGTGTTAGTGGTAGACACAAAACAATGCACATCACTGCCAAGCATGCAACCTTGACGACCATTGAGCTAGCCATGGTTAGGAAACGCAGGATGAGGACTTAGGAGTTTTGAAAGTTAGTGTGAATTGATGTGGAGAGCAATGGTAGAAGCTTGACTATATATAGATAATTGGTACCATAAATGTAGTCACCGAAGTAACTCAAATCATTGTTTGCAGGAGAATTCAGGTACTTGGGTTTAGTATAAACTTTTAAATTATAAATTTCACATATCTCAAGTTAGGGAAGGATCCTTTTACCACTACTAGAGAAAACTTGTATAGGGACGGAATTGTTATGGAAATTCCGTCGCTAATTTCATCGCCACTACTACTTTCCGTCACAAATTTCCCCACAAAATCGTTAGCGAGGGAATTTGCGACGAAAAATAGTAGCGAGGATCAAATTAGCGACGGAATTTTCATATCAATTCCGTCACTATACAGGTATTTTCTTGTAGTGTACTTTTTTACAAATTTATACAAATTGCACTATGTTCTCTCTGGAGAAGATAGTGTGATTAATATTCTCCCAGAAGAAGATAATGTAGTTTGTAAGAGTTTGTAAACAAAAATATTTGTAAATATAACCTGGCCCCTCAAGTTAAGTAGGTAATATATTTATATTGGGGTAAGATTTGGGGGTGAAAATTTTCAATACGACCCACACCACACGAGAAATTCATGTTTAAATTGACCCGTTTTCAAATTTGGGTCAAGTTTGTGTTGGAAAAAAATCATGTAATGTTAATTTTCTCACCTTAATTTTTTTTAAATTATTTGTATTGTGTCATATTATGTCACGTCAACATGACATTAGTGAAAATAACATTCATCATGCATGTTATTTGTGTTGTGTTATGTTATATCATTCTGCATATTAAGTGAAACATTTTGAGCTTGACGAGTTATTTGTGTTGTGTCGTGTTAACTCACGAAATAAGCAAGTCATATTCGTGTCGAAGACGAATCTTTGTGTTGTATTCATGTCGAGTGTTGTCAAACCTCGACCCGATGACATGAATTGTCACCCCTAGCATTATCTACTTGTACCAATGCAAGGATAAGAAATCTTAGCTATTGATTACACCTATATAAATGAGATCAATAATTAAGATTGAGTGTAACACATACATTGGTACAAATTGATCATGTATGGTATATAAGGGGTATTTATAAATATTTTATTTATAAATTCTGACAAACTTAACTATGTATTAAGGATAGTACATGAATTGGTTTATGTACTACCCTTAGTACATAATTAAGTTTGTAAATATAACCTTCCTCGTATAATTATTTTTTAATAAATATGTTGACCCGTGTTAACTAATAATTTGAATGCATATTTAGCTAAGAATTTTTCAGGCTAGATAATATGCTCAACTGCCCGCTCAAGCTTCTAATAACTGAAATTTAATGCAACCACATGCTGCACGGAAGAATTTTCTTGGGTACAAACGTTAGAACATGCAATGATTGTCTCTCGTTGGTGCTGTATCAATTGGACCCATTTTTTAAAACCAAATGGAAGTCCTCTGCATTCACATTTTATATAGTAATGAATATTGTAACAATTAATAAAGAATAATCTAGGGAGTTATAAATATTAACAAAAGCAGTGAGGAATTATTTAAATTTAATACTTATTATACTCATTATCTTCATCATAAAAATTCTCAAATAAAGAAATTGACAAGTGTCCTCACGTTGGACAAGTAATTTAAATTTAAGTAAAATTTAAATAAGTATAAATTAAAAAATATTTAAATAAAAAATATTTAAAATTAAAAGTAGTGTGTACATATATAATTAACTCAGGTAAAATATGAAAAATATATACTACAAGAGAAAATTAAAATAATAGGAATTATAAGAAGGATATGCATAATTAATTTAAAATAATTTAAATTTAAAATTAAAAAGAGTAAAAGTTATGAAACTCATGTGTTATTCTTTAGGAAAAGTAATCTAAAAAATTAAGTCACTTTCACGGTAATGTATTTAAATAAAAATATAAGAGTGAATCAGCTGAGATTTAAGGGTTTTTTGATACAAAAATAAAATTTTTAAAAATTAATTTGAGCATATAAGCATGTAAGTTTTGGAAAGAAAAAAAAGTTGTGCAAAGTAAATTGAAAGTAATTATTTTGAGAATACAAGTATGAAGTATAGTTGAATTTTAGTAAAAAAGAAAAAAAGTTAACATAAAAATTAGTATTTAATAACTTAAGAATTTTTCAAAAATGTAAAAAAGGAAGAGTGTTAAATCTCACGTGCCTGAATGGAAAAAATTACAATAAAATATTATCTCACGGCCAAAACTGGGAACTCTCTTTTTTTAAAATTTTTTATATTAATTATGATATTTTTTTTTGCACATTCAATTAATAATATATTATTAGCTATCAGATGTTAAATTTATTAAATAAAACAATGTAATCTTTTTACACGCACAGTACATTTTAAAATTTAAATCAAAATTTTAAAACATAAAAATTATCTTGCCCATCAATATTATTTTTGGTACAGCAGAAAAGAAAAGGAAAAAAGAAATCAGCATTTAAGGCAAGATTGTGAAATCAAGACAAGAACAATATAAAATCCTAAAATATAAAATAATAAAGCGCAAAATAGACGAGGTATATTACTCATTTATCCTTGTTACGAAAAAATCACAAGCAAATAAAATATTATAGCAAGTCTATCTTTTTCTTTCTAACGTGTTTAGCGTGTTTGGGAAAAGATGGCAATGTTACGAAAAGTTCACAAGCAAATAAAACAATAGAGCAAGTCTATCTTTTTCATTCTAACGTGATGGCAATGCTTGCCATCCATAAAGTAATATTTTTAAAATTCAGAACTGGAGACGGAAAGTGTGAGAATTTCGGTGCAATAATTTCATTGGTTTGATTTGTTGTTAAATTTGTAATTTAACTGGTTAAATTTATAATTTGAGCTTAATTGAATGGTCATTAACTCAAATAACATTTGAACCAAAAATATAATTGGTTTCAGTTCAACCAGTAAGTGTGATATATATAGTTTTAAAAACATTGCTGTATGTAATCGATTAAAAATAGTTTTTTTCCAAAAAATATTATATTGATAAGAAAAAACAGAGAGGGAAAAAAAAAGACAGATGGAGAAGGACTCTTAAAATGCAATAGCAAGCCTGATTTTGACTTATTCCACATGGGATATAAGACCTAGTCCATAAATGGTCTAAGAGGTTTAACCTTTAAGATTTAAAGGTTAAAGAAAAATGTCCATCTCATCTTGATGTCATTCCGTCGGCATACAACTATGCTATCAAGAGCACAGAACTCTACGGCCATCTTAATAACTAATAATCAAAGGGCAAGCACCTGATTCCGGCTATACATAGAAGGCATAGTTCACGAATATAGGCATCCCACACACTAGAGAGCCTGCAAGAGCCATCTCAGTCCACCAATGAGATCAAGTGCCACCATATGAAGGTGGCATAAGTAGGACAACCAACAACTATATAACAAAGACTTGAAGTCCATGTATAATCATCTAATCCATCTTGACTAAAGCTCATCGATAAAAATCTGACTTGAGCATCATAGTCCTTGCAAGTACCCCATTTTTCCCAATAAATCAAGACAATTAATCAAACACCAAACTCTATCTCGCTGAAGTATCCTACAAAGGAATCTCTCCTCAATATTTGAATTACTATTGGACCAGATTCAACTCTGTGTGGTCTATCAAGCCCTTTTATAGAATTTGAGGGATCTAAGTTAAAAAGTATTGTGCTTTAATTGATGATTCCTGCAAATTATTGAAGTTAAGAGGGAGTTTTTCAAGTACCATCAAGTGATGTCTCTAATTTCTTACCTTTGATGACTCTTTCATTTTTTTTTTTTAGAGTAAATATCTTTTTCGGTCCTCAGCAAATTTTACGATATCCGCTTTAATCCCTAACAAATAAAAAAGCTATTCGTGGTCTCTAAGAAATTCAAAGTGGACCCATTTTAGTCCTTTTGAGGGACTAATGTGGGTTTTTTTTTGAATTTGTGAGAGACCACGATTTTAACTAAATGGATTCATTTTGAATTTCTTAGGGATCATGAGTAACCTTTTTATTTGCTAGGGACTAATGCGGACATTATGAAATTTGCTGAGGACCAAAAAAGATATTTACTTTTTTTTTTATCTATGCATCTTTTTATATTCTCTATTTATTCCTCCATTTGTGTCTAAAATTAAGAACAAATTCAACTTGATTGACCTTAACTATGAAGAAAATCATGCGTGTGTACATCTGAGCTATATTTTTGGCGAAAAATCATGTTAAGAATTGGTTTGAGGTTGGTTTCACACTTCATCTTTCTTCCATCACCTGTTTCTTTGAATAAATTAGACCCTTTATTTATCTTTTTAGTTTGATGATTGAAAACAAGGTATTGGATGTTCTATTTTTACTTTCAACTTAGTTAGCTATTGAATCACTTGAATCTGCTTTTTTTCATGGGCCGTAAATATTTCAGATTAAGAAAATGACTGTAGATTTTCTTTACTTGTCCACTTTGTTGGGTGGAAAGAGTGTGTAAAGTGCTAAGTAGGACGATGAAATAGAGTCATTGACTAACTTCTCTATTTTATCATAACCTTTGTTCATTGATTATTTTCGAGTTACAAATAATATTTTAGCCTATTGTGTTGTTGGTAATTGTTAAAAGTTGTGAAAACATTTTTTATTCAAGGTTTTTTTTTTTTTCTTTTTTCTGAGAGCTTCTAAAGTTGTTCTCTAATCAAACTTGAAGGTAAGTTATCAATTCTCTTCTATTCGGTTTAGGAATGTAATTTTTTTTTTTTTTTATAAACTATATGTATCCTCAACAGGAAGTAATCATGTTCTAGTCGGAAACATTCACATCATTTTAGGGATAACTCTTTCAAAAGAAATTTTTTGCATTCACAAGGACTTGAATCCAAAACCTTACTTAAACTGAATCAAACTTGTATCACTTAAATCAATCCCATTGGTTTAGGGATGCAAATCTAATTAATGTGTTATATACACTTTCAAGAAGATCATTCCCGTGAAAATTATTATATAACTACATGCTAATTGCAATTTTAATGCTTTCTGTGGGTTATTAATACTATTATTTTATTTATTGTACATGCTTTTTAACTTTTAAAATTTATTTATCATCCCACTATTATGGAACTGTTGAAGAATTTTTGAATTATGCTAAAGAATTTTTCTTTTTTCACAGTACATCAAACATACTATCACATGATTATTTAATATAAATGGTTGAACATACTATCGCTAGTGTATCTGCTAAATGCTTCGAAAAATCTATGAGGTGAATTATTTTTGTTTTGAGATTGAAAAGTTTAAGTGAAGTTAGACATTGGTACCCCCCACTAGGGTCAGGAAAGATCCCCAACCATTTTAAGAATTTCTGAGAGAGATTACATATTACTTACCAACAAAATATTCTTAGAACGGACTGCAGGGTTTGAATCCACATCTTTGTGGAGTGTGAACCAAACTTTTAGCCAACTATACCCAGTGGCGGAGCCGGACTTCAATTTGAGCTCGGGCCAAAAAATTATATGTATATTTATTTTTCTTAATTTTAGTTAGTTCATATCATAATATATTTAAATTATATTAAATACAGAGCACTTGAGCCGGCAATACCAAGAAGAGTTATAATTTTATTAAATATTTTTTAATTTTTTAAAAAATATTTTTTTATACAAGTGAAAATTGAATACATAACCTAATACAATTTACCCAAATCTCTTATTAAAAAATTTTAAATTTTAGATAGGGCTAAATTATAAATTGTAGTCCGAGCCAAATTATAATTAATTATATAATTATATATAATAAGTATAATTTGTTAAATTTAACCCGGATCGAGGTCACACCCAGAATGTATGTGACCCGTGACTATACCCACCATTATTGGCACAACTTTTGTTTGATTAGTAGCTTATTATGTAATATGTGTTCCTCAAAGGTTAATTTGTATTAACTCTTTTGTGATATAAATATCCAAAATAAAATATGGTGATTTGATTCACGTCTAACTCTTACTATATGGACTATTTTCTCTTTGAACTATTTTTGTACTTTTTGCTTTAATAGAATAAAATGAGTAGAATTTGTAATATTTTTTAATTAGAAAAGTAATCTCATATAAGTAACCAAGATTACAAATGTGGTTAAACAGAATTTTTGACACAATTAGGCATGTTTTCTATTGTACGTAGTAGACAAAACAATTTAGCTTGTTTAACTTAATAAAAATTGTGGCGAAATAAATGTTACCAGTTCATTAGTCAATGCTATATTTTGAAATGCTAAATAAAAATTGTGGCTAAAGTAATTGTAAAAAAAATGAGTAAATTATTGAAATGCTCTATATAATCACGTTAGTCAAACTATGAAATTTTTTCTTAGCCATTGCTTTTTAGTACGGTTTGTCGCGGTTGGCCGTGGCTAAACACTATGTTATTTTAGTTACAATTGAAAATATGGAAAGAGATATTCTATATTTGATAAATTGTTTTGAATGAACAAAATATTGGAAGGAAAATGATCCTGCTAGATAGAAAATGCAACGTAAGATAGTCATCACATCGTAAGAAAAAAAAGAAACACTAATCAATAGTATATTAAATTATTTTTTATCCCAAAAAATATTAAATTAATCCAATAATTGTGAGATAATCCAATATTTATGTCAGCATTATTGAACAAACTTTTTTTTTGACATCATAAACATAATCCCACTGCAGCTGGGTGGGGAAGGGGAGCATATCTTCTTTATTACATGAATAGGTGTTACTTTATTAAAAATAAGAAAAATAAAATTTGGGTGAGATTAATCACAAATAAGTGGATAAAATAAATAAAGTCAATTTTTTTTTCAATTTTAATAAAGAATATACTAAATTTTCAATTCTCCTAAAGAATTGAAGATATTTTTGGAAAGACCCACAAACCAGAAGGTCTCAAGATAACCGGGTCGAGTGTTGGTGATCTGATAAATAAGATTTGTTCTATAAAAGGACTAATGGGCTTTGAGATGTTTTTTAATGTTGACTTGAGTTGGCGAGGGCCTTGGCTGACCTTGGATTTTTTGCTATTCCTTTTTTATTTTTTTTGGTACATGAGTTTTTGCTATTCCTTGTTCGAACCTAACATGATTTTTAATTATTTATATCCATAACATAATTGAGATGTGCAATTTATGTCATTCCATTGTATTATCCCAGGTTTCATCTCATTCATGACTATATATATATATATATATATATATATATATATATATATATATATATTGAATTAATTTTCCTAATAATTCTCTTCATTCTTAAATGAAGAAAGTATTAAATACTTTTTTTTATAATTTTAATATATTAACTATATAATTATTTAATTTAATTTTTTAATTAAGTGTTACGAGAATTGTTAAAATGATTACTGGGATACATCATTAGTATTATGAAAAGCAATTATGAAGCTTGGAATGAAATGTTTTAAGGAAAAGTGCTTAGACAAAAAAAAAAAAAAATACTCAAAATGAATCCAAGTATCCAACTAAATCAAACCAATTGACTTGTTTGGTTCTTCTATCAAAATAGAATCGATTGTATTTCTAACATAAGGAAAATAATTTATTTAGTTTGAATATATTTTTTTCTTTAAAACTGAAGCAATGCAAACAGCAAAACGGGCTATGATTAATTTATTATAGCTAGGAATGATAAATTCCAAAAAATATTTAGTTTGAATGCCTTTTCATTTTTAGTTTTCTTTCTTTTCTATTATTTTTCTTTTTTAAGTAAAGAAACTCATTAGATGATGTTAACCGTTAGATAAAAAAAGGTATTGAAAGTTACATATAAACCACCTATCTTAGGCGGGCTATAAGGATGGAACTATGAGAAGAACTAACGACGTTAAGTGTCAAAATTGTTTACCCACAAACATTGATAATGGTGTGCGTACATGATTCTCCAATGAAGCACGGTGATAAAATAAGATACCGGTATATGGCCATGCAGCAAATTAAGTCCCAAAAATATAAAATATCATGATGTAGTTTTTACAAACTTCAATGAAAGGAAAGTAAATCAAAGCAATGGTTAGCAACTGTCGTTTCCCAATTGTCAGAGAGCGTGAAATGTAGACATTAGGTACGGATATAGAGATAAAGACCTGTGGTACGAGTGTTGGAGCTAATGAGTTTGAGAGGGAAGAGTTTAGAGGTGTTTAGGGTCTGTTTGGAGCACATGATAAAGAAGATAGGATGAGATAACTTATCATATCTTATTTTTATCTCTTGTTTGGTGGGTCAATAGGATATGATTAGCTTATCCTATTGTCTCATTTTATCCTATCCAATGCATTATTTCTTATCCTATTGGGGGAGCTGGGTTAGGATTCAACAGGATATGATACCAATATTAGATACCCAATATATCCCCACGCTACCCAATATATCTCCACGCTACCCAATATATTTGTATTTATTGCATTATATTTTGTTTTTTCTTTCTCTTTTCTCCTTCTACACAATCTTATCAGATTGCTAATCAGGTGCTCATCAAACATATGACATGATATAGGCTTATCAGCCCCATATCATATCCTACCCTTATCAGCCTCATATCATATCCTACCCTTATCCTATCTTGTCCATCCAACGAGCCCTTAAAGTATTACACCAAGAGATATTAAGTTAGTTTTTTTTTTTGGTAACCAGATATTAAATTAGTTTTGAATGGTTAACAGTGTTACCTCCAGTATAAAAAACCTAGAGATAATAGAAGTTATTGGGTTTCAGCTCATATGGACTCAAATAAGTATGCTTTTACTTGTTAGGCTTGTATGTGAAGATACTATTGTTGGACTATATAATTAATATATCTAACATAGAGAATATCACAATGATTAAATATAGGAATTATAGTCTCTCAAGTTACATAAAGTAATTTTGTCTAATACTACATAAAAAATGGGTTTGACCCGCTTGTTCTTATTCTCACTCTTTTCTTTAGTAGATCTCACATATTTTTTTATATATTGCAAAGAGACAAATTGTCTTATGTAACATGAGAAATTATATTCTCTTAAATATATTATATACATATTTTATTATGTTTTTAATGACTAAAGTTGATTTGTGAAACATTAATGTCTTTATTTTAATTGTTTTTATGTTAATACTATCTTCATATTATATTTAAGTTTTGTTGTATTATATCATTTTTATACATTACTGTATTCACATTTCGATTTCGTATTCTATCCATATCTCGCATATGTGGCAATGCATATTATATTGAGTTTTATTAATCTCCTTCCACATAAGATAGTTATCTTACGTGGTAGAGAGAAAATGAGTGAGTCCCACCATTACAAGAAAAAAGAAAAAGAAAAAAAAAGTGGGGTGCGAAAATCGAAATGAGAGAAAATGAGAGTAATATTTCCCTATTATATTTTATGCTGAACGGAGTTTCTATAATAAGTAGGGCTAATTAAGAATTTGCCTCACTAGTAATTAAGAGTCCCTTTGATAAAAGAGGTGAAGTGAAAATGGTTAGAAATGCAACGTTGCACGCGTGTAAAAAAAGCAGCGCAGATTTTTGTAACAAAACAAGTAGCAAATATTTGTAAGCAGGAGAAAATCAATAATATTTTTAACTGCTATTATATATATAAGAGTTCATAATAATTAAATGGAAATTTCAAAACCACATCTTAGACATGTAATCTATAACTGAGGATCGACACACACATCTAGGAGCAGCCACCTTCCTTATTATCTCTTGCCACTGAGTAAGTACTTAGTAAGCGAGCACAATGCCCCCTCACGTACGTAAGCTCCTCACTTGATCCTGCAATTGGCAATCAAATTAAAAAAAAGGTTAATATCTTTGTTAACTAATTAACACATGCATGATGATGAAAAATTTATATTAAAAAAAAAAAATTATCAGTTTAAATAACATAATTTTATGTCATTTTAAGTAAAATCACTGTATTTTGGTGCATATTTGTTGATTTTTTATATTCTCTTTTTTTTATAATATTCTTTCTTTCTCACTTCTCCTAATTTTGCCAAGAGGAGAGATAATATAAAAGGTCAACAAACATATACCAAAATTTTATTTAAAATGACACAAAATTATATAATATAAAATGACAAACATTTTTGAACAACAATATATAGGGGCAGATTATATTTACAAACTTTTTTGTTTACAAATTTTTACAAACTACATTATCTTCTCCCGGGAGAACACTAGGTTTCATTATGTTCTCCCGGGAGAAGATAGTGTAATTTGTAAAATTTTGTAAACGGATCATTCCCCATATATAATGTATATATAAGTATCTATATACATACTTGTTGCAATCAATGGAGGCAGTGATCTTGTAGGGAAAGTTAACTCCACACTTGCCAGGGAGGCTAGCAAGTTTCTCAGGATTCAATCCACCAATGTTCTTAGCAATTGGTTTGAGGCATCTACAAACAGCTTGACGATCAGGTGTGGTTTTGGCTTGGTTGTTTAAGGTCCTAACCCCATTGCAGCATGGTGCAGGGACTGCACTACCGCTTCCAATTAGATACGAAACGCATGGTGTTACAGTGCTTGTCACCTGGCCACAAGTGGGAACAGCATGGGTTAGTGTTACACCCAAAACAATGCACATCATTGCCAAGCAAGCAACCTTGATGACCATTGAGCTAGCCATTGTTAAGAAACACAGAATTAGAACTTATAGGAGCTTTGAAGTTATTATTGTGAATTTGATATGCATAGCAATGATCCAAGCTTGACTATTTATAGATAATACCATACATACAGATACTTGGTAGTTGGCAGTTGACAGTGTAGTCACGATAGTGAGTACTCAAAACATTGTTTTCGGGAGAATGTTAGGCATTGTGGGCCGGGTTTACTATAAACTCTTGAATTATTTAAAGAACTAATTTAACTTAAAAGTTTAAGATGTTGAGGGGAGGTTACATTAATCATTTTATATATCTAACACGAGTCGGGTGAAGTTACATTAATGATTTTATATATCTCAATACGAGCCCAACAATATACAGGCCTACCTACCTGTGCGAATAAAGAAATTGCACTAGAAAGAAAGTGGAGGCGGTGAGGATCGAGCTCGATACACCGAGGCTCTGATACCATATAAAGAATCAATTCAATCCAAAAGTTTAAGCTGTTTAGTGAGGCTATATTAAAGATTTTATATATCTCCACAAATTATCATTTGATATATGTAAAGTTATGTAAGTAATATATACTTATTTTTTAAAAAAATTATCTTTATACGTATTAAACAATAATTTGAGTGAATATAATAAGGGTATATTTAGCTAAGAAATTTTCGGGCTAGATAATGCTCAACTACCCTCTCAAGCTTCTAATGAGTTAAAATTAATTGCGACCACATGCAGGTTATAAAGTTGCCGATTGAAATAGACCCAACCGTTTCTGGGTAACCATGTGGTTAGCTTCGTTACCTAATTTTGGGTGCACTAGATGTGGACACTTGCCGATAAGAATTTATTTATTTATAGTTAAAACTTAAAAGTAACATATATGCTTCATTTTTATTTATTAAATAATATATTTTATATGTTTAGAAATTATTAAAATTATCTTTCTACTTGAAAATTTTAACTATTAAAATAATAATTTAATATTTTATAATATAGTAGCAAATACTTTTATTATAATTAAAGATCAAAATTATAATATACAAAAGAGTTAATTAGTTGTTCAAATATTGAAATGAAGTTCATTTGGTTGTGCAAATCTTGTTTATGGAATTAGTTATTATTAAGCAATACAGATTTTACCAAATTTTTTTTTTTTTGGAAAAATAAGAGTAAATTGCTATCTTATATCACAAATATCGTGGTCTGCAAATCTCGTGTGGGTACACAGAAAGGAATTAGGTTATAGAGATTAATTATCAAAACTCATTTTATTATGTTGGTTTGAGCTCTGGTACCCCGGCACGGCATTTTTTTGAAAAATTGTGTGTCGCACCGTGGCAGACACCAACATGCTTCAACACGCGATCAATATTTTGGGACACGTAGTCAACTCTTTGACACGTTTTTTCGACACGCAGTCAATTTTTTCCGACACATGGTTAACGCTCCGATCCGTTTTTTTTTCTTAATTTTTTTTATTAACTAAAAATAAAAAAAAATTATTTATAAATCAATATTTTTCTGTTATAAAATTTGACATGAAAAATTAACCAGGTATGAATTTTTTTATATTTATGTTATAAAAATTGAATATTTGATTGATTATATGACTTATTATGGTCTGTTAAATGTATTAAATAAATTATATTTTACATATTGAAAATATTATTTAATATCAAAACATGTCCCAACGTGTCGAATATGCCATTTTTTAGAATTAATGTGTCGGCGTGTCGTGTCGTATTGTGTCACGTGTCTCGTGTCAGTGTCCGTGCATCGTAGGGTTTGAGTGTACGTGGCTTGGCAACGTAGGTGGTAAAAGAAATATTTGCTCAACTTGACCCGTTCTGCATCTTCAGGGATCAAAATCTAATATCATTATACGTTATGACATTTTCAGTTGTTTGGTGTGACCATCGTATAGTATAAGCTTATACATCAGAACCCCTTAATACATCAAAATGATGTATAACTTAATCCGGCCTAAGGGCATGTTTGGTGCATAGTATAGGATAAAGCCTGATAGTATAAGACCTGATAGTATAAGGCCTGATTGTATAAGACCTGATTGAATTTTAATACTATCAAGCGTTTGGCACTGTATTGTATAAAATAATATATTGTATAAATGCACTGTATAATACTATATATGATAAAAATAATTATTTTTAATAAAAATATCCTTTAATAAAAAATTTATATAATTCTTCAAAAAATGGCATATGATATTAATTTTTATAAAAATTTATTGATCAGTGTGTCCAAAATATAAATTAATTTTTATTAAAATAAAAAGATTCAATATTTTAAAATTAATATATTGAAAAATATTTTTATTTTAATAGATTAATATCAAATAATATATTAATTTTTGAGAATTACATTGGTCAACGATGTTAATACATCAATCACTTATCAAGTCTTATCCCTCACCCTTAGGCCGGATTAAGTTATACATCATTTTGATGTATTAAGAGATTATGCTGTATAAGCTTATACTATACGGTGGTCACACCAAACAACTAAAAATGTCATAACGTATAGTATAAGCTTATAATATCATGCCTTACATGTCACACCAAACAGGCCCTAAGGGGGTGGGATTAGGCTTGATAAGGGGTTGATGTATTAATATTGCTTACAAGTACAATTCTCAAGAACCAATATATCATTTCAATATTAATATATTAAAATAATTTATTTAATATATTAATTTTTAAAATATTGAAGGATATTATCTTATACAATACCATACCAATTGATGGAAAGTATTAAAATTTAACCAGGCTTTATACAATTAAGTCTTATACTATCAAACTTTATCCTATACTATGCACCAAACATATCCTAAGAGTCATAATTTCGGAGAAGGATAGAAAGGCACAATCCAAAACCTGATATAATTGGTCTATTAAAAAAAATGGTATAAAAAAGATTAGAGTGGATTGATTTAATGGGTCGGAGCATTAATCCCACCGGACCAAAAGAAGCTTGGGAAGAGGCCCAACTATTTGAAAGACTGTGAGCAGCCATAAATGTGAGCTGATCCATACCTAAAGCATCTTTTCTTTTATTTTTAATTGCTCTCTTGTAATTTCGTTTGTTGTTTGTTTCGATCCAGTCTCTTATGATTAAATATGTACATTGAGCATGAGTAATGCATTAAGCAATTTCTAGAATATTCTCCCTCCAATTTCTCTCGCTTATACTTTCTCATCTTCTTGCAATTAATCTTAAAATGTGAATGATAAATAATAAAATTTCATATTAATTAAAAAATAATAATTAAAGATTGTATAAAGAGAAAGCATATACTTAAATTTTGAATCAAGATATAATATTAGACCCACATTTTTTTTTTTGATTGCTTGCGTAATTTTATTCCTGGAAGATGACGGTTAAGCCCAGTGAATATATCTTTGTACTGCAGGAGTATGTACTTCATTTTTAGAAATAAGTTCGAATAGATAGATATTTGGGAGAGAATAACCAAAAAAAAAAAGTGGGTAGATGGATGAATCAAAGGCCCATAACAGTACTAGGTCTTTATGAGTTTCACAACAAAAATCTTCGTTAGTACGTGAAATATAAGCTATATCCAAAAAAAATTCATATTTTATAAATTATTATTTAACAAGATAAGTAAGTCAAACTTGTATGTGAAAAAAAAGTTCAAACCTTTTCATTATCACATCTAAATCAACTAATAATGCCTAACCATGGCAATAACTTTTCAGATATCTAAATTCATTTGCAAGGAGAAGGACATAATTTAAGAACAATTAGTTAGAGGATAACATTTAGCTAGCTGAGGCAGATTTGTAAATTGTAAGTACTGATTAGTTTCATTTGAGGCACATTTTTTTGTTTTTTTTGCGTTGTTTGGCACAAATTTAATCAGTTGAGAGAATAGCATTTTGGGTGAACAATCCACCCACTCTTTATAGTTGCAATAATTTCAGAACGCGGTAGAAGAGGAAACCATGAAAAGGGTCAGGAAATCAACAATTAAACTTTATTTGATAAATGTTGGAGATCCATCTCGTGGTTATTTGGTTTTTCATACAATAGGAGTGAATGAACAAGAAGTGTTAATTTGAAAGGTAAAATGGAGATTAATTTTGTTAAACAATCGTCTCAACTAAAAACTCAAGTTGTCAAGTGAAAGTCCATGAATGATTTTTATATATTCTCTCTTTAATACAGTCCTCACACAAGAGCCCTTCAAGGATGGACAATGTATCAAACTTGTGGTCACGAAAACTTTGATATAAAGCAACTAATTCAACCCAACAACTTAAACTTTTAAGTGAAAATCCATAATTATTTTTTAATTATATCTCTCTAACAAGCTTCATATTTATACAAGTTCTTTATCCTTTTGGGTAGTGTGGATATATAAGAAACATCACTCGAGCCCTTAAATGAATAATCAAGATCATGAATTAATAAAAAAGAACTAAAAATAAATAAAATGTTAAACAAAATACATATTTTGGAAATAAATTTAGAGATATGATATTATGTATATATTTTTATGCCTCTTCTACTTATTTTTAAAATGAGAGAAAACAAAATATTAATTAAGATTCTGATCTAATAATATTGTAAATAAATAAATAGAATAGTCATGGGAAAAAAATAAAAAAAATAACCATAGTATTCTATCCCTTGAATTTATCTCATGTCACCGTTCAAGTGAGCATCTCAACCAACTGCGCCACATATGGCATATGTATAACTTTCAGTGTCACCCGCTCTAACTCTCAAATTACGCTCTTTCAAGTTTCAAGATTCTTTTAGAGAAAAGTGTTTGTCATTTTAAATGATATAAAGTTATGTCATTTTAAGTGAGAGATAGAAACAAGAAAATATTTTTTATTTAAAATTTAAATTAAACAAAAAACCACCTACTTTCTCTTCCATGATTTTCAGTTCTTATGTCTATCTCTCTCTTAAAATGACATAACTTATGTCATTTAAAATGACAAACACCAAACCCTTCTTTTAATAATTAATTTAATTCAAATGTCACTTAAAATTGGTAACAATATGCTTTGTTTGTGAATTTATATTAATTGACTACTATACTGCTACTAAACTAAAGAGCTTCGTGAACAGAGACAGTCTATTTTTTGGATATACAGGATTAATTATATTAATTTATTTATACTATTCAATACTTTTATTCAAAGGAGATTTTTCAATTTGGTCTCTACTTTTTTTAATATAACTAATTATTTCTTTGATTAAGAATTTATAAATAAATATAAAAGAGAAAATTAAAAAAAGTTGTTAACGAGTGTATAAGATTAGAAAAAAGCCTTTGCGTTTTATTTAATGTTTTTATTTTGATTTCTTAACTAGTGTCTTATATATATATATATATATATATATATATATATATATATATATATATATAAATTAGATACAAAAAAATTAAAGAATCTCCTTTACATAAACGAGTTGAAAAGCATAAATAAAAATAGGGAAAGTTCAAAAATTCCATATGATTTTGTTTTGAATCACTTATACTTTTATGTTTTTTTTAATCATTTACCTCCTTATAATTTTTTTCATCCAAACATATCCTCAATACAGTTAGAAACTAAATTAATTTGCCTATATTACCTTTCTTAGAAAAAAAAATAGACTAACAACAAAAACTAAAACAAAATAAAAGATATAAACGCAAATATATTGAAAACTTATAATACCTATAGAAAATAAAAAATAAAAAATGAAAAATATAAGAAAAAAATTAAAACTGTCTTAATCAAAAAATTAAAATAAACTCAGGTCAAAATAAAATTGAAAAATAAAATAAAATAAAAAATAAAATCAAATGTGTTAAAACTTACAACAATGACAAGAAAAGAATAAAATTGAAAAGAATGAAAACACTCTAAATCAAAAAGAAGAAAATTATGAATAAGAGAAAATCTAATTGAACTCAAACTTTTCAACATGTTTAATTTTATTTTTTCTTCTTTTCTTTTTATCTTCAAACTATCTTCTTATTTTTAATTCATATATGTTTGATCTTTTTTATTATATATATATATATATATTTACTTTTAATTTTTTCTATTATTGTTAAAAATATGGAAGACAAAATTAGACAAAAAAAGAAATTAGTGTTGAAAATTTTCAACATATTTGGTGTTATTTTTGTTCTATTTTTTGTCCTTTATTTTTTTTTCTTTTTTGTTTAGTCTTATTTATTCTTCTATTTTTTTTTTATCTTCAGTTTATTTTCTATTTTAGACTAGTTCTATTTTATTTTTACTTTTAGTCTTTTATACTACTGTTATTAGGATATTCATTTTATAACCAATTTTGACAAAAATCAAACTGAATCGATTTTAAACGGTTTGGTTTTCAAACCAAATCAATTTTTTTTTTTAAAATTGATTTTTAATTTTTCAAACTGGTTTGAAATCGGTTCCAAAATCAGTTTATGGTTCATAATCGGCTTTGATTTAGAATTAATTTTAATTCAAAATCAGTTTAAAATCAAAATTAATTGTGAAGCATAAATCAGTTATCAATCGGAACTGTGATTTGAATATATATTACTCATTAATTACATTCTTACTGAATTAGAATATTCTTATATTTAGATAAAATCTTCGACGCTCAAGCAAATAGACAATTGCCAAATATTGTTTTGAATTGGAATATCCTTACCTCCTATTTTTACCTCTCAGTCATCACAACATTCTGATTTTACAATTCAAGCAACAAACTGCAATTCTTCATTTTTTATTTTATTTTATTTTTCTCTTCCTCTTTAAGTTACTTCTGCCATGACAATTATGTATTTATCCTTATCTTTTCGTTAATTTCTTCATTTTTTTTATTTCGAAAACAATATAAAACTGTAAATTTGACAAAAGACTTTCATAGTATAATTCCTTGTCTCTTCCTACACTTTCCAAAGTCTTGCATTTTCTTAGAAAAGATGCTAGGGAGAAAGTAGAGTAATTTGGTTATGAATAATCATGGATAACTAATTATTTTTATAGTTTGGTAAATAATCAGTTTATAAAATAAAATACAATTTCGTATGAAATCGGTTTTTTAAAAAAAAATTGATTTTTAAATGTGGAACAATTTGGTTATGGATTGATTTGGTTCTTTTGAACATTTAGAACACTAAGTTTCCATCATATTGATTTTTTTTCTTGTCTTTTTCACCTTAGTTTATTTTATTCTTTTTGATTTAAACTTATTCGATTTTTCTTCTTCTATTTTTGTTTTTTTATTTTTAATTTTTTTAAGTGTTATAAGTTTTCAATATATTTGGTCTTTTTTTTGTTTTGTTATAAGTCTATTTTCTTTTTTTAACTAGGGTAAAATAGACATATTAGTTAAGTTTTTAAAAATATTATGGATGAATTTGGATGAAAAAAATCATAAGGGGATTATAAATATGGGGTTTAAGTGATTAAAAATATGGGGATGAATTTGAATTAGTGATTAAAAAAAAATCATAATGATTTAAGTGATTCAAAGCAAAACCATATGGGGTTTTTTGAACTTTTTGCATAAAAATATATTATATTATGATAATAACTAAGACTTTGTAGTTGCATTAAAATATTTAAATAACGGTGTCTCGTAATTAATGTGAGTGTCTAAGATTGACAGAATAACATTACGTGCAACGAAAGGATGAAAGTGGGTTATCAGTTACCAAGAACAATCAGAAGATGCGTTTGAAGATTAAAATCATCCTTTTTTAGGTTTTACTTAGCTAGGGATAGAAATATTATTAGCAAGTTGGGTCACACTTCCTTTAGCAGCAAAGTTGTCCATCATATTTTTGTTGCTTCTAATCTAAGCATTATTATCTGCAAAATCAAAATAATATTAATTGCCAATCACCAATTTGCAATGCACGAATGTGAGATCATACTCCCAACTGAAAATTTGCTTTCAAATTGAAAGGCATTATTGATTTTAATTACTAATCATGGCCTTCTTCCATTTGTTCCATGTTCTTCTGATTTGAGCAATATATATTTTTATATTCTTAACGGAATTTAGTAGAAAAAAAACTCAGCCAATACCAAAAAATCCAATCGGATAGAATTTTACCAGTAACATTGCTGTATTATTTTTAAAAAGTTAACAAATATATACTACAAGTGTACCATATTTTTTTTAAAAAGATCTATATTATTTTTAAAAGTTAGCAGGTGACTTGGCTCGGGCTAAGTAACTAGTGGTTTCGCCACTGGTCCCAGCTTTCTTTCATAGTTAATAAATAATAAATTTTCAACCAGTGAGGTGTGAAGCACGAATCTCCATCCCATATGCTTTTAGATTCAATAAAAAGGTCAGGTTAGAAATACTCCATCATATTATGACTACAAGTTAGGATAGAATGTGGATTATTTTGGTAAATTTAATTACGTTAGAGAGCTTCATATCAGTTAATAATGCAATTTATAGACTCAGCGAAGCTACTATAAATATATTTTGATATATTTTACAATGTAGGGGATGACGAGGATTAAGCTCCTGACCATTCATTAAGTAAGGTTACATTAAATATTTTGTATTCGCATTCTATAGCTATGGTATCGTTGGATCTGCTTGCTAGCCAGGGATGCTGCTACAATGTCGTTGGCTAAACTGCATTTGCTTTTCCGCAAATGGTATTTTGTTATCGAATTCAATTAAATATTTATAAGTATATGACTTTATTTTTGGCAAAAAAATTAAAATATTACACTTTTACTAATTAATTACGAATAGGTTGCAATTTGAAAACTATGTGCAAATTTATTGCAGTCATTCACACCCAAAATGGGCGGGACAGTTCACGCCCAAAGTAGGCGTGACAATTCACGCCCAAACCAGGCGTGAATTGCTTGGCCTATAAAAACCCCAAAAATTTCATTTTTCCATCTCACACCTTCTCTCTAAATTCTCTCTAAAGTTGGTATGCCTTCTCTCTAGATTATTTGTGGAGCATTTTGCGCGGCGAAGCCCTGTTGAACAAGTAAGTTTTCATATCTGTTTTATTAATTTTTAAAATATAATATTATAGTGATATAGAAATATGTTATTATAGTGATCTAGAAATATGTTAAAGTAGTGTCTTAAACCCTAGGAATATAATAGTGACTTAGGAATATAATAGTGACTGTGGAATACAATAGTGACTGTAGTGACTGTGGAATATATTAGTGAACTAGGAATATTGTACAGATTTAATTAAATATTTTTTGTAGGTAATGTAATTTAATATTTTTGTTAACACATGTAAATTAATATTTTTTTGTAACACATGTAATTAAATATTTTTTGTAACACAAGTAATTAAATTTTTTTTAACACATGTAAATTAATATTTTTTGTAACACATGTAATTAGTTAATTGTTGTAACACATGTAATTAATGTAATGACTTTTGAATATATTAATGAAACCAATTAATTTATTATTGTGTATAGTACACTATTATGGCTGACTCGTCATCGTCGGAGTCACCTCGGTCTACATCCGATACTGAGGCTCAGGGCGAGATCCCAGGACTCACGTGCTTCCAGGACCATACAGGTGGGACGTACTTAGGAAGCGCACGCAACGCACACATGTTTCACAGGTTGTGTGGAACGAGGAGAAGTGTCGCTAGTGCAAGACTAGACGTGGAAAGATGCAGGGGGGCCATCTCCTGATGATATTCCCGATGTCGTGGCAGACTATTTCAGCAAGCTGGCTTCCTACATGTCGCATGCATGCGGCATGTTCATGCTACGCATATATGAAAGTACCGATCATATGACTTTTAATTTAATAATAAATGTGAAAAACTTAGTGTATGCTTAAGCAAGTTTATTTTGATAATAAATGTCTGCATTTATTTCAGATTGATCCCATGCTGATCAGTGCTCTGGTGGAGAGGTGGCAACCAGAGACACACACGTTCCACATGACGCAGGGCGAGATGACTATTACGTTGCAGGATGTTACGGCTATATTGGGATTGCCGACTGATGGGAAAGTGGTTACGGGTGCTACATCCATGAACTGGCGAGTCCTGTGCGATGAGGTGCTTGGTCACGCCCCGCTCGTTTCAGAGCAGCCGTACGGGGATGTCAAACTCTCATATTTAGACAGACATTACACGCATTTGGGTGCAGGTGCTGCGGATCCACAACAAGTTATATTTTTTACTAAGGCACACATTGCGCGTATGTTAGGATCATGGCTTCTGTGCGACAAATCTGGAGGTAGCGTCGTCGGATGTCGCTACATTGCGTTGCTTGCAGGAGATTTTGATGACATTGGTCAATACAGTTGGGTATCTGCTGTTCTCGCACATTTGTTTAGACTATTGTGCGAGATTACTGACCCACGCAGATCAGACATGGGTGGGTGTCATATACTGTTGCAGATATGGGCGTGGACCAGGTTTACACCTATTGCTCCTCTCTCTGGAAGGTTGACAGAATACGACCTCTCATAACCCTCGTCAACTTCAAATACAGTTTCATCAACATTGTATGTACGCACATTGTGACCTGTTGCAAGGGACTCATTAAACTTCATCGATTCAACTATATTTTTGCAATGACGATGTGAAGCATGAAGTTGTGTTGTAGCTGCTTGACCTCTTTCCACAAAATAATGAACTAGCCTGATGTATGTATGCTTAACCAAACCAGTTATTGGCATGTTTCTTGCACCCTTCAAAACCCGGTTAACGGATTCAGACAAGTTTGTTGTCATATGGCCATATCTAAGTCCATCGACATCATATGCCCTTGTCCACTTTTCCTTTGGAATCTGATCAATCCAATCTGCAATCTCGGGACTAATGTCACGAAATTTTGCAAAGGCTATATCGAAATCAACCTTAGAAGGAGTATAACCTGAAAAGAGAAAAATATTTAATAATTTGTTGCAATGAATAATAATCCTAAACATCATACAAAAGAGACCAAAACATACCCAAATTCATAATCGTCTTCTTCAATTTTTCATTCTGAAACTTTTGATTAAAATTACTTGCAATATGGCGAAGGCAAAACACATGTTGGGCATGTGGTGGCTGCCAACCACGATGATTCTCCACAGCAGATAATATACTTCGATGCCGATCTGAAATGAGACATATGTTTTGCTTTTGCATGACATGACGACGAATGTTATCGAGGAAGTACTGCCATGCTTCCAAAGTCTCGCCTTCAACAATTGCAAATGCTAATGGCAAACATTCAGCATTTCCATCTTGAGCTGTGGCAATCAATGATTTCCCTTTATACTTTCCATATAAATGAGTGCCATCGATTTGAATTACTGGTTTGCAAAAATTGAAAGCCTCGCAACATTGTCTATAAGTCCAAAAAATGCGATCAAACACTCGTTTTTCACGTACCAGTCGGTGGGCAACAAAATAATCATCTGTATGAATATTATAAATAGAACCTGGAGAAAAGCGAAGCATATATTCACACCACCTAGGAAAAAATGCATAAGACCCCTCCCAATCACCATACATGATCGCAATTGCTTTTTGTTTTGCATACCATGCCTTTCTGTAAGAAACTTTGAAAGTATACGCATGTGTGATCCTCTCCTGAACAAGTGAAATTGACACTGATGGCTCCTCTCGTATCATTCCTAACAATCATATTGTAGTTAGACATTAAACCTTAACCCTAACTATAAATTCGATTTCCTTGACAAAATAATCAAATAACATACCTAGTACGAGTGAAGCAATCACATCAGCATCAAGCTGTCTATGACCCTGAGAAATATGATCATTCAAGCAATTGTGGTCTCCACCCCATTTAGTAACCTCCCATTTTTCACTGTACGTTGGTTTTATTACCCTAACCCTCCACGGGCAACCCTGTTCATACTTACAACATTTCATACTTAATTTGGTAGGCGTGCTCTCAAGTACGATCGCTTCTTGATGCTCTTTCATTAGGTTTCCCTTGATTTCCATTTGCGCCTCTTTTTTATTCAAATTCTTGCTTAACATACAACTTGTTACCTATTTTCCATGGACCATTAATTGAACCTGAGGCTGAGCCAGAACTTGAACCGTCATGGAAAGAATCTTGTTCCCTCGGATGATCCCAATTAATGTATGTGTAATGTGGAATTTCTTTCCAAAATGGAACAATATCGTCCCCTGCAAGTACGAAATTAAACATTAAAACCAAAAAATTTGATAAATATAAATGTATATTTTCAGTCCATTAACTTACTTACCTTCCGATATTGGCGGTAACTGAGTGGACGCGACGTTATCATGTTCCTGGACATGAGACTCCCCCACAACATTATATTCTAGGATTTGAGTTTCAGGAATACCACATTCATCATCGTTGTCTGAAGCGCTAGCATCCTCAGCAAGAAGTTGATCTTCCACTGCAATATTTTCATCATCGTCATCCTCACCATCATCTTCCATAACCTAAGTAGGGTCATTTTCTCCTTCCTCAGACAGATTACTGATAACACATATTTTGTTACACTTATTTATTACTCTTGGGTGATATTTTTATGATTTATTTGAATTAAATAAAGGTCTTTTGGGTTAAATCAGAATTCTAGATTTTAATTGGGTTTAATTGATTTTCGTCATAATTTTCCAAATTTACACTACTTTTGTATTTTGACCATATCTCACTCTACAGATGTCTGATTGACTCCGTTCTTGTTGATTTTTGCAGCTAATAGATAGGTCTACAATCTCTATTTCATCTACTAAAGCCCAATTCGGACGTAAAGATGGTCGAAACCTGATTTCAAGATGGACGTGTTTTTCTGGAAATTTATTTTGACGTTTGGAATTAAGTTATAATTTTGAACCCAATGTACATGAGGCCCAGAGCCATTATTTCTATTTTGTTTCCTTTTATTTTGGGTTGGATTTGTAGAGCCTGATGCCCAGCTTGATTAGGGGTTAAAAGGGCGAGAGTAGGGACCTTGTGGAGAATCTTTCATTTGAGTTTGAATTATACAGTTTTGAAATTAATATAATTTTCGTCTCTTTTCTCTCCTCTTTTCTTTAATCAAACCAAGGGTTGAGGATTCTATGGTTGAATCTTGAGGACCTGCGCCTTATTTTGAACCAAATACGTTTCTCTTTCGAACTCGGTTTGGCATCGCGCGATTGTGGGTGTTCAATCTGAGATACGCGATTGCGTTCTTAGGAAAGAGATTAACTATTAGATTTAATGGTTAGGTTGATTAACCCAATGAACTCAAGTCGAACGGGTTGATACTCCGCGATTGCTCGAGTAGACGCGCCGTATTCGACCAAGCGCTAAGCGATCGCTTAGAGAGGGTTCTCAATTGGAAATAAGGATTCTGATTCAATTGAGATCAATCACGATTTGGTAATTATTTGTCCAATGATGGATATCCTTGGAATCCTAATTCTTGGGTTGGTTGCTTTTAATTTGATTATTCTTTTTTGTTATTTTATTTTTTTTATTTCCGTTTAAATTGACAATCATATTAAGTCCCCCCCTTTTTAGTTTCCAATTTTCTTTAGTTTCCGTTTCTCCTTAGTTTTTCTTTTATTTAGTTCCCATTTTTATTTGGTTTTCGTTTTATTTGATTCCCATTTTTATTTAGTTCTTGTTTCATTTAGTTTCCGTTTTCATCTGGTTTCTATTTTATTTTTATTTTTATTTTCATAACTGAACGATTAAGATCCTTGTAAACTCCTTGACAGACGACTTAGGGTTTTTCACTTTACTGAAAATTTTCTGAACCCTAAATAAAATTAATTTTTAATTTGCGCAAGTTCGACAGCTCGTGTCAATTACCAACTGGAGTAGCAGATGATGATGCATTATGTGCAAAATTTAAATCAACTGACCTCACGGGTATAACAACATCCTCTGTTTTGACAATATCCACGTATAACTCTAGAAAATCTTTCCTTGACTGGTTGAAAAACTCTCCGATTACCATTTCTACGTCTTCACCGTCAACAACTAGCATACTAATATATTGTGATTCACACCATATTCTTGCAGTGACCATATTGATAGATTGTTTACCTTCAAGCGCTAACTTTTGACGAATTTTTTGATGTAGTTCGCTAATTGTTGAGTTCCGCATGATACGTGTTGATCTTTTCTCGCCTTCAAAAATGACACCACGTCGACCTTCTATTTTCCTACCATTATAATATAAAACAACACGAACAAAATCATAATGTGAACTCATTCTTAACTATATTAATAAAGAAAAACACAAAACAGAGTATGCATAAGCAAGTGAGACTGTATCGAAGACTAAGAAATTAAGATGAAGAGTTGTGATGAATGTGGAGATGAGAGGTGTTTATATAGGAAAAATAGGTGGTATTCACGCCCAAAGTGGGGTGGAAAGGGGGCTGAGTCACGCCTAGATGGGGCTAGAATATCCTTTGATTCACGCCTGCATGGGGCGTGACTAATCATGCCTATTTTGGGCGTGAATGACGTGAAATTCACGCCTAACTTGGGCGTGAATTGTCCCGCCCATTTTGGGTGTGAATGACTGCAATAAATCCGAAAATAGTATTCAAACTGCAACCTATTCGTAATTAATTATTAAAAGTGTAATATTTTAATTTTTTTGCCCTTTATTTTTCTCATGTAATAGGATAAAAATTATCTTATGCTGTGAGACAAAAAAAGTGGGGCCCACCACATTCTTATTTTTTTTTATTTTTAAAAAGACACATCTTTTTATATGATTGTAACATGAAAGATGAATTTCATGCAATATGAGAGTATAATTTTCATTATAAATAAGTCTTTAGTTCTGTTTTATAGTTTCCATAACTTGCTTTTTGATATATATTTCCATAACTTGTTAATATTTAATTGATGTTTATCTTTTACAGTAGGTTTAAATATTTAATTCATATTTTATCATTATTTTGCTCAATTCCAATTTATAAATTTTTTAATTTAATATTTAATATTAATTATTTTATTTCTTGATTTATTAGTATTTTTCCATGTTTTATCTTTCTTTAGGTTGTAAATTATTTACTCCATGTGTTGTCATTATTTTGCTATTGTTCATTGGAAAATATATTTCTGCAGTTACTGTAGATAAGTTATCTGTATTTATTTCTAAAACAACGTCGTTTTGGGATTGAAAAATTAAATAATCAAAATTATAAAGACTATAATAACCCTGAAATAAATTAAAATTATAAAAATACTATGATTTCCGCCCCAAAATGACGTCGTATTAGGTTTACTGTAGATAACTTATCTACATTAACTACAGAAAAACAAACCCCGGTTCATTTTAGAGGATAATTTAACATATTTAAAGTATTATACTTCGCATAATTAATTTGTAGGAAGTTGTAGGATTCGGTCTTTAACGTTTCCTTAATTGACTCTGAAACTTAATTTGATATTTTTTTTTGGTAAAAAACACTTAATTTGATTTAACACATAGTGGATTTCTAAAATTTTAAAGAATTTTAGAGAGCATGGATTTGAATCCTTTTATGTGAAAAAATAGTTATGTGGTCATGTTATTTGATCACAACCACTTATTTTCACTCATTGATGATGAGATAAGAGAGAGAAAAATGTATATTTTTTTAAATGAGTGATTGTGATCAAATAATAACATGATCACTTTTTCACATGAGTGGATTCAAATCTGCCTTTCACTACCTTCAATAGACATTTGAGACTAAACTAAGTTTTAATTCTGACCAAAGAAAAAGTAAGATCTCCTTTAGATAAAAGCATTGAATAGTTAAACAAAAAAAATATTACATGCTCATAATAACTAAGACTTTTTACTTGCAATAAAATCTGCAAATAATCTTCAATTCATTTATTATATATACAGTAAAAAGCAAGAGGAGAGATGGAGAAGAACACGAACAATTTGTTTAACGTGAGAAAATCTTCTTCAATATGAAGAAGTAAAAATCTACAAGACACTAGTCTAGAATCAAACTTTCACTATAAGAATAATGAGTTACAACAATCAAACATCCATAGTCTTTCACTAGAGGTATAATCAAACTACACCTACAATAAGGTGGTAATATTAAACTTCCCTAAAGAGGTCTCACTCAAATTTTTCTCTAGAGGTATTCAAATTCTTTTCATCATATCTCCAAACCTCACACACTATAAGCTTATATAAGGGAAGGAGATGATTCTAGACATTGAACCACTCAAAGAATGTGTCCCTTGAGCTTTGCATCTTCATTTATGAGAGACATTGAACCACTCAAAAGATATGACCCTTGAACCTTGCACAAAAAATGGAGAGTTTCAACCTCTTGGAATTTGAGCCAATTGAAGGAGGAACAACTCCCAAAATTAATAAATCAAAATAAAATTTAATTAATAATTATTAATCGCACAAATTTTTCTTTTAGAATGCAAGGACCGAAATTGAGACGTGATGAATGACCATGCATGTAATCAAGAAAAGAGGAGCGAGACAACAGGGGAGAAACCAATTTAAAATAGCTCACTATGTAACCCATACAAGGAAATGATAACCAATACATAATTAAAAAGCATCCAAGACAGTCGCGTACAAGTGGAGAGGGTTATATAAGTGTGTCACCATCTTCACCCTCATCGTTATTCTCAATATAACATTAAGGTTAATTACTCTCATACTAGAAACTAGAAAGTACTTTCCTGTGCCGCGACTTCCTCCTCCTCCACCTCCTCTTCAGAACTTGATGCTGTAACCAACATATAAATTAAGATAATCAACACCATCAAATCAAAATAATAAATGCATATGGTTCACGAAGCTCTCTAGTTTACAAACTAATAACATGAACGCATATACTTCGATAATGATCCCAATAAAAAAGTCAAAATAGTATGAACTATGTAGCACCGATACTGACACGGGACACGTGACACGATACGACACGACATTCCGACACGTTAATTCTAAAAAATGTTAGATTTTGACACGTTAGGACACTTAAATAATATTTTTAATTTATGTAGTATATATTATATTTAATATTCAATAATTTAACAAAAAAATATATCTAAACTTATAATATTCATAAATTTTGCAAAGAAACATAAGATATCACAAATATTTATATTAAACTCAATAAAATGGTAATCGTAATCCAACGAATCTACTAGTTGGAACTAAAAACTCAACGCAACTTAACCTTTGAACTTTTTTTGAATTTCTATAACGCGTGTTAGAGTGTCGGGGAGTGTCCGAGTGTCCGAGAGTGTCGGAAAGTGTCGGACACGACACGTCAGAGTTTTTGAAGTGTCGGTGCTTCATAGAGTATGAGTACCTTTAACGTGAATCAATTTACTTATGTCTCATTTATTTATTTTTCTTCTTTTTTTTGGAACGAGTCAGATTTTCAGGATTTCCTCACAACTAATGTGAGAAAAGGATATCAAATTAATAACGTTATGCCAAAAAAAAAAAATTAATCATTTATTGATAGATTAAATTCTACAATTTTAATGAAAAAATAATTATTTTAATTGCTGATAATTAATTCATTAATAAATAATAATATTTATATTAAAATAAGACATGAGACTATTCATTAAAGTAGTGAGGGTGAGTTAAGTTAACATACGCGGCGCAGTTGGTGGTGGTGCTGATCTTGTAGGGGAGGTTGACACCACATTTGCCAGGGAGTGAGGCTGCATTTTTGGCATTGAAACCAGCAAGAGAACCAGCAGCCGTTTTCAAGCAATTGCACGCCGCCTGGCGGTCAGCGGTGGTCTTGGCGGCGGCGTTCACATTCTTCACTCCGCTGCAGCACCCTGGGCTCGGCGACCCACCTCCGCTCAGGTAAGGGATGCATGGAGATAACGAGCTCACCACTTGACCGCATGTGATTGCAGCCTCGGCCATTGGTGCACCCACCAATGCCATGCACATCATCACAACCATGCATGCATACTTCACACTAGCCATTCGATCCCCTTCTCAACTAAAACAAATCACAAACCAATTACAATATATATTTTCCTTTGCTTTTGAATTGCTTACTTCACTTGGTGACTATAAAAGTGTTGCATTGTGTGGTGTTTATATAGAAGGGTAATGGGAACATTGAGTTATGGCTACAGACAACACGTGGCAGTTGCAAGTTGATTGGTAGGTATGTTCAATTCAATGCTTGGAATAACTTTTCTCAACGTTTGAACACCTGGCACTATATGATGCTTTACCAAACTCATATTACGTGGGATATCATGATCAAGACCCAAGTAATTTTAAGTGTTGACAATGACAGGAGAAATAACCCAAGTAACAGAGCTGAAAATAGGTGCATCAATTCCGTACTTAACTTTCTAATTTATATATGCACCGACTTTCAATCAATTGAGCGGTTTCAGCCTTTCAGATATGGTGTCATATTCGTAGTTAATGATTTAGCACTTTTCTTTTGTTGGTTGAAATAAGGCACAGCACAAAACAAATAAGCAAATAAATTATAAATAAGAAATTCTAATCCTAGGAATAGAATTAAAATCAGAAAAATACAATCACTTAATATGAGAAGGAGATTGGAAAGTTAAATAGTCCTCTTGTTCCATTCTTTCCAGCAAAAAATTAGCCAGTCAATCTGCGCAAGAATTACTTTCTCTATATGTATGCACCAGTTGAACTGTTCATTTATTTGATAGCCATTCTCATATTCGAGTCATAAATCGATCGAGACTCACAGGATACATCACCAGATTTGGTGAGCAGAGTGATATCAGTAGATGAATCACTTTCTAGTATAACTTTCCTCCAACCACCATTCCAAGCAAGTTCCAGCCCTTTAAATATTTCCCATAATTTAGCAGTTAAAGAATTACAAAAACCCACCCTGTAAGAAAAAGCATTTAGCCATCTCCCATCTGAATCAGCCCCCCCCACCCCACAAGCAGCTCTACCAGGATTACCCTTTGAAGCACCATCTGTATTTAGCTTAATCCAATCAGCATTTGGCGGGACCCATTTGACTAGAACCTCAATACTATATCTCCTATCCATTCTAACTCCATTCATATCAGAGACAGCAGCCCAAATTTCCAGCACTTTGAGCCTAATTACACCAAGATTATATCTACTTTTAGCCATACCTGAACTATGAACTATTTCATTCCTCCTCCACCAAGTCATCCAGCAAGTAACACCAAAAATAGTCTCCCAATGAACGCCAAATAGCCGTAGCGATTTATGATTTAAATTAAATAACATCCATTCATGCAGCTATAAATCACAAAATGATGGCGACAAGATAGGAGAAAACATTCGACACCACAAATTTTTAATGTTCGAGCAGTCTCTTAACATATGCAAAATAGTTTCCTCGTCATGGTTGCAAACTGGACATGTTTGATCTCCAATTTGTAGCCTATGCATTCTGCTATAGTTGGCAACCTGTCATGACCCACTTTTCAAAGAAAGATTATTGTTCTTTGAGGGCCTATCCACCTCCAAATAGCTTTCCATAACTCAGGTACCCCACTTTGTTGACTTAGAGAATAAAAAAAAAGCCTTATACAAACCTTTGATAGTTAATCTCGGATGACCAGGAATATGCCAGAATAATCTATCCTCACCATCATTTCTGCTAGGAGCTAGAAACTTCTAATGCAGTCAATAACATCCGAAGACAGCCACCTAGCAGTCTCACCTACTTCCAATTACCAAAAATGTCTACATACTGATTAACTGACTTATTTACCTCATCCCAAGAGATTAGTTGAATAGCCTGGTCCAAAAGCCTACTAGAATTAGAAATCCATCTATCCTTCCAAGAGAGAATTGAGGACCCATCTCTAACTTCCCATAAAAGCAACTCTTCAAGTTTTCTCCAAGTTTTACAGAAATAAATCCAGGTTCTGGAATTCCCATTTTGGGATTTAAAAATATCAATCCCTTCTCTACCAGTTGCATACTTAGCACGAAGAATGTAAACCCAAAGGGCTTAGGGATTTGAGTATACAGATCAGCCTAACTTAGCCATAAAGGTGTCATTCATGGCACTACGATTCTTCAAACAAAGCGAACCTTTCCGTTTTGGGTTTGTCATTGTTTCTCATCCTATTAAATGCATATGTCTTCTATCTTCAGCATCTCCCCAAATAAACTTTCTTTGAATTTTTTCAATCTCCAAACACACATTATTAGGAAGTCTGCCAGATTGCATGTGGAAATATTGAACAATGGCTAAGATTGATTGCGCAAGAGTGATTCTACCCGCTTGAGATAAACACTTAGCCAGCCATTCAGTTTTTCTCTCACCCTATCAATTGTTGCCATATATGACTCCTTTGAGACACGACCATGTTGCATCCAAGCTCCAAGATAACGGCCTACATTCCTTACCATCTTAAATCCAATAAATTCAGTAATATTTGCAGCCACATCTTCCGGAGTATTCTTTGAAAAGAAAATACTAGTCTTCTCTGCATTAACTTTTTCACCTGATATTTCACCGAATAGATCAAAATATTTGAGTTTAATATGAATCTGATCCATATTGACCTCCACAAAAAGCATAAGGTCATCAGCAAACATTAAGTGTGAAATTTTTGGCCTCTCCCTGCCAACATGAATGGGCTTCCATAATTCCCCCCTCACTTCTGTGTCAATTATATGAGACAACTTTTCCATTGCCATAACGAAAAGATATAGAGATAATGGATCCTCTTGTCTGATCCCACGTGTAGGTTGAAACTCCTCAACTACACTACCATTCCATAAGATATTAATTCTTATGGAGGAAATTGCTTGCAAAACAATATCAACTAATTTTTTAGGGAGCTTCATTTCATGCATAATATTTTTCATAAAATTCAAGTTTAACATGTCATATGCGCCTTCTCAAGGTCCACCTTTATAGCCATGGAGACTTTATTTCCTCTCATGCGATGCATAGATGAATGAGTTCTTGAACCACTATGATATTATCTTGTATATGACTTTGTGGAACAAAGCTAGCCTGCATAGGGGATATTAACTTCATCATGACTGGTTTCAGTCTCATAACCACTATTTTACTCAATATCTTGTAGATAACCGGGCATAAAGAAATGGGTCTGAAATAAGTAATATGAGATGGAGTCTGACTTTTTGGGATAAGGACTAGAAGTGTTGAATTTATGATTGAAATGGGCTCAGGATAGCTCCAAACAACATCAACCAGCTTAAGAATCTGATTCTTTACAGTATCCCAATTTCTTCTTTAGGGTTTATATATGCACCTTTTTTAATTTTTTAATTTTATTTCATCCCTCCATTCCTTGCATATTTATAACGGGAACATATATCTATAGATAAATTCATTTTCAGAAGTGTAATTTTTTTGGGGGTTCAATTTGGCCTTTTAAATTCACTTTTAGTTCATTAATTCACTGTTATTTATTGTATGAAAAATCAAATAATCATGCATTCAGGTGAAGGATCTCAAACATTTATCAAATATAGAGTTTCAAATTTAAGTGTGAATTTGTTGATTTACTTATCCCTTTCGTATTTTCCTCTGCTGTCACGTTCTGAAAATTAATGATGGCAATTAAAGAGTCTTTATAAAGATTTGACACACTTTTTTTATATATTAATATAAATTTGAAATTTTTATTTTATTGAATATTAATTTGTAAAATGTGATTATTTTTTTGAGGCGAGTTGATTCCTTCCGGTATCCTCAGAAGCTTTAACTTTTTTAGTCAACATTGAGAGTAATCCGAAGTGCGAGGTGAGTTAGGTATAGAAATATTTAAACATCTCGCTAAAATAATATATGAGAATTGAACCGAGACCTTTCCTAGCCCAACTATAACGTGATATTATTATAATAATCTCACATACTTGAAAATCATTGCATGTGTCAATGCATTAATCTACATGTACAAAATGCCAAGACATTCTGGTAACTGTTAGTGGATAATACATATATTATTGAATAATCTTTTTTGTCAGAGGCAATTCAAACATAATATAAGCTTATTTAAGAATCCACCACTGTTATTTTGGGTGGACTAGTGTCCAAAGTACATTTTTTATGGTTAATTATCCAAGTTCAATTGAAGTTTATACACAATATATGTGGATTAAATATATTTAAATTCGTTTTATGAAAAACACAATAGTATAGTGAATTAAATGTTTGTCATCTAAATCTCTTTAACAAAAAAAAAAAATATTTGTTGTCTTAAGCAATGAATATTATGAAGCAAACACTAGCTTGGTCCTCAGCTGGACCATGTTGAAACCCTTGGAAGAGACTTTACAACATTGTTTTCCTAATAAATGAAGCACCAATTTTGGCCCAAGAAATGTACAGGCTGATTTCTTCTCTCGTGACATGTACTTAGTGTTTGCTTGGATGAACTTTTCCTTATTTAGAAGCTGCTTTTTTTAAAGTGCTTTAGAATTTTTTTTGGCTATTTGAATATGAGCTTTTAATAAAAGTAAAAGTAGCAAAAAAGTCAACATATTGCTTTTTTGAAAAGCTAAAAATTCTGGCTTTTGAGAAAAGCAAAAGCCAAAAGCTACTCTGACCAATTTTACCCATCTCCTTCGACGCTCTCTCCTTGGTCAATAGTTACCTTCCTCTTTGAGGCCTTGAAGGCGGGGAGATGGTGGATGCTCCAACTTCAGAGACTCTTGGGATCGATTTGAGGAAGGAGTGGGTGGGTGGTTTGACAGTAGCGATTGGGGTAGTTCTGGTGGTGTTGTTGCCATTGGGAATGTAATCCATTTCCATTAGGAGTAGACGAGAAAATGGAATCTCATATTGCAAGTGGATAAATGTTGCTACAAAAACAAGATCAAATTTTGTGCCTATCAACTATATGATAGCCAACCTATATATGAATCTGAAAAGTCGTTTAGTTCAATATGGTGGTAGCATACAATGTTTTGTGCCATTTGTTTGATTGACAATAACTCACTTAATCATTATTTATTTCCTTGTACCAGGATTATGAGGAAGTTAAATGTATGAAAACC